TTGGCTGTCAAATTCATGTTCACCGATTTGACTCAAATTCTCATATTGATTTATAATATACTAAAACGTATATCCAAATTATAAAAAGTCTAAAATAAAAAAAAATGACAAGGCATGGGCTCAATAATATGTTTCATCGTTTCGTGTGTATTTTAGTCTAGACGCCATCTAATTAACTATCGAGTTGACCTCCGAAGACTGCCGACGGTTATATAAGCGATTTATAAACATAAATATAGATATAAATAGATAGCAAACTTGTGCAATAGGATTTTTCTAGGTCTGTTTAATTTCATATTATAGGTTAAAAATATAGGGACGATGGATTCATAATATATGATGGAATATCTGATGAAATTACAGAATTTTTTCGTCTAGCAAATAATTATAACCCCTTATTGAAGTCCATAATGAAATCTCAAACGACAAAATGTCGTTCTTGGATGTTGATGTAATTAAAGTTTAAAGATTTACAACACATGGCATTCTTGACGTTGAAATACATTTTAAAGAAACAAATTCTTATCTCTATCTGCATAGAAATAGCTGTCAATCACAGCATGTATTCCGAGGATTTATTAAAAATGAAGCAATACGGCAAATTAGAATCACAAGTGACCATAACAAACAAGTGAAACTGCGAGCTACTGCTCACTGATGATACCCCCGCCCAAATATTTATGTAAACAGGAAGTTGTTGAGTGATGAATCTGAAAACGCATCACACGGTATAGCTTACTTATATAAACCCTGAAACCAAATTTCAGAAATCGTTATGATGTAGTTCCTGAGAAAGATGCGACGAAAAATATTCATGGGACGGATTGACGGACTGACGGATGGACGAGGTAAAAAAAAAGAAACGAATCATGAAACACTGGCATTTATTACAGTTTGACGAAGATTGTGTACAAATATTCAATGCTGCACCAATAGTTGCGTATAGCAAATATAAAAGTGTTGGAGATATGCTTAGTAGATCAAAGTTAAAGACTTTAACATAAAATTATCAGTTAGACCCCTGATGATGGCAGATCTGTCAAAATAACTAGATCTATTGATGAAGAAATTAAAATATAAATATATCAGTATATACATGAATAATTTTCATATTTGATTATATTAAAATAATGCATCTAAAATGACCATCCCAAGCCAGAGCCTCTTATCCCAAGCTTTAACCGCCGAAACACTAAAATAGTGATCAATAGTGTTGGGTCCTATCATGCAATATGGGATGCGTGGTTGCATGGGTGTTTAATAATAACAAAACTCAATGAAAATCAACAAAGCACTTAAATGACCTTTTTCTAGTAAATTATTTTTGGCAATTTTATCAAGTGAGATGTAAATATTTCTGTACATAACTTTTATATTCCACATTTTTTTATTCATTTTCAAAATTCAATATCCCTAAAAATGCATCAATATCCAATATCCCATTTATTTTTAGGACAAATATCCCATATCCCTAAAATTAAAATGGCAAATATCCCATATCCCAAAATACCCTATACAAGCCTCTCAATTCAAAGAACAACCTCCTCTTTCTTCTGTTCCTATCCCACTGTCCAATACTCAAGATCCACAGAAGTTTCTTCTTCTGTCAACAGAAGTAGAGACTCTTTTGACAAAGAGGGCAGTGGAGGAAGTCCCTGTATCTTTAATAGATCCAGGTTTCTATTCTCGTCTCTTCCTTGTTTCAAAGAAGACATGAGGAATGAGACCAGTCATCGATTTGTCTATCCTCAATTCTTACATGATTATTTCCCATTTCAAAATGGAGACCAATCGTTTAATCAGAGCTTCTATTCTTCCAGGTATGTGGACAACATCCCTGGATCTGACGGACGCTTATTTTCATGTTCCAGTTTGCCATTCATACCGCAAATTCCTTCCGTTTGTTTGGAACAAAAGGGTTTACCAATTCAGAGCTGCACCACTAGCCTTTACCAAACTCATTCAGGTAGCCATAGCTCACCTTCATTCACAGGTATTCAGATTAATTCTTACCTGGACGACTCACTGATCAAGGAACTTTCTCCCGAGAAACTCTATCTCAATACCGATGTAGTCATCAGATTGCTTCTCTCTCTGGGGTTTCTCATCTCTTGGAAAAAGTCAGACCTTATTCCGTCTCAGGACTTTATTTTCCTAGGCGAACATTACCTTACTCATCAGTGCATAGTTCGACCTCCTCAGGAAAAGTTTCAGAATATTAGTTCAAAAATTCATCTGTTTCTATCTCAAAAAACAGTTACTGCTCGCCAGTTTTCACAACTGCTAGGTCTCTTGAATTCACTAGCGGATGTTGTTCCACTTGGTCGCCTTCACATTCGACCTCTTCAATTTTATCTACATCAACATTGGCTCCCAGCTTCACATGATTGGGAATTTCAAGTTCCAATCATTCATCAGGAACTGTATCCTCATTTGGTTTGGTGGACTTCTCAAGCAAACGTTTTGAGAGGCCAACTTCTGTCCTCTCCAGTTCCAAATCAGACTTTGTTCACAGATGCTTCCAACCTCGGTTGGGGAGCTTATCTGGAAGGTCTTTCAGTTTCAGGAGTGTGGTCTCCAGATCTTTTGAAGGAACACATCAACATACTAGAAATGAAGGCAGTTCTTCTTGCACTGTCTCATTTTCAGTCCCTACTGCAGAACAAATCTCATGTTCTAGCATCGGACAACACCACTGTGGTGGCTTATTTGCGAAACCAAGGGGGAACTCATTGTTACGAGCTGTTCCTTTTAGCAAGAGAAATCCTCCTTCTTTGCAATCACCTTCATCTACAGGTTGTAGTTCGTCATGTCCCAGGGGAACTCAATGTGTTAGCAGATGCTCTGTCCAGGACACTTTCCCCAGTCAATACAGAGTGGGAACTTCTCCAATCAGTATTTCAGGCAAAATTACGTTTATGAACATATACTATAACCAACTTTATGAGTGCCCCGTGTGTAAGGGTTATATAAAGAAGTACGCTGTAGAAGCGAAGCTCCTGCTAGAGGAGGAAGATAAAGACTAGGTAACAGGTAACAGGTAGCAATAACACTTCAGTGGGGGTCTCCTCATGTAGACCTGTTTGCAACAAGCCTCAATTACAAAGTTCAAGTGTTCATGTCTCCTGTACCAGATCCGAAAGCTTACGCAGTAGACTGCATGAGTGTTCCTTGGGACGGAATGTTCGCTTACGCCTTCCCTCCGTTCAGATTTCTGTCAGAAGTTCTTCGGAAGATCTCAGCAGAGCAAGGGTTGATCATTCTTATTGCTCCAGCTTGGCCCAAACAAGCCTGGTTTCCAGATCTTCTTCATCTGTCTTGTGCTCGTCCGCTGGTTCTACCAGTACGACATAACCTTCTGTCCCAGTTCAAGGGCAAGCTTCTTCATCCCAATCCAGAGAAGCTACATCTGTTCGCGTGGCTTCTCTCAGGGATAGCTTCAAGGAGAGAGGTTTTTCTGAATGCGCAGCCAGACATCTCTCCCGAGCAGTTAGAGATTCCACTAACATCGTCTATGATGCCAAGTGGACTATCTTCAGTAGTTGGTGTAGTGAGAAGGAAATTGATCCTTTCCAAATTTCTGTACAGCAACTAGCAGACTTACTGATCCACCTTTTTGAAGAGAAAGGATTATCTCCCTCTACAGTTAAAGGCTATAGATCAGCTATTTCTAGGACGATTCAACTGTCTGGAGGTCCAGACTTTGGTAATAATGAATTCATTTCTCTTTTAGTTAAGAATTTCACTCTTGAATGCTCTAGACAGAGAGTTTTAATCCCGTCTTGATATTTGAGTGTAGTTTTATCAGCTTTAAATACCCATCCTTTTGAACCTGCTGAAAAGGTTGAAATCAAGTTTTTATCGTATAAGTGTTGTTTTCTTCTTGCCTTGGCCTCTGGTAGAAGAAGAAGTGAAATTCATGCGTTTTCCACTGCTGATTACTGCCTTCGTTTTAATAGGGATAAATCATCTGTTACTCTATTAACGGATCCAGCTTTTTTAGCCAAAAATCAAATTCCGAGCAGAGGTTCAGAACCGTTAGTGATTCCAGCCCTTCCTGATGATTCAAGTTCTAAAGTACTCTGTCCTAACCGAGTCTTACTTTTATATCTTCAGAGAACACGGAGTCTCCGCACCTCCTCAAATTTTAGGTTATTTATTCCTATTTACAAAGGAAAACAAGATTTGTCTGCTAAAACCATTTCAACTTGGATCTGTAAAACTATTCAATTAGCTTACAATTCTTCTAATGAAGAACTTCTGAATAGTATGCATGTTAAAGTCCATGATGTTAGAGCTATTTCTACCTCCTGGGCCCTTTTTAATAATGCTTCTTTAGAGGAAGTATTATCTGCAGGTTTCTGGAGAACTGAAAATTCTTTCATTTCTCACTATCTGCAGTCTTTATCTACTCAAGCTCAGAGTTATACCAAGTGGTTCCAAAATCCACCAAAAACTTAAATCCTAAAAAAGCATCACCTCATAAGACCACTCTCACAGTGCAACTAGGGGGACTACTGCATCTTAAGTTTCTAGTATATACATCAACTCAACTACTTTACATTCAGAAATTTTTGTGAGCATTTATTACAGCCAGTTGAAAAACGGACAATAATATAAGATAAAGTATAGTGATTAAATGTGCTCTGTTTGGTAGTTGTCCCATTGGCAATCAAACCACACCTTATTTTATAATCATCAGATAAATGCACACAGCAGGCTAAACCCTTGGCCTTGGAATGCACAGCCAGCAATCTTGAAATATTTATAATACCATTATTAGAGTTTCATCATTTTCCTGTACTGATTTATATATAGACACCTGTCAATTGTTGAAGATTGTATGTTGCCTTGTTGTTTTTTTGTGTTATTTTTGTCAATAGGTTGCTGTCCCATTGACAGTCCACATCTCTTTATTTATATTTCTGGTATTCAAAAAGACAACCAAGTAAAAACAAAACTGCACAAGTGTTGCCCCAACAAAGCTAAAAAGGAAAAGATTTACTTATTTGCAACAATATTTAATAATAAAAAAAACTGTAAAATAATACAAATCAAACATATTCATTGCACTCTACCCTGTAAAATAAGTAAACAATTACAAAATATTGCAAGATGATGAGCTCATTTCAACTCTTTCATCCTCTAAAGATTCATCTGAATCAACCTCATAATCTAAATCATTTGAGTTCCCTTGTAGAATACAACCATTTGTTTGCTCTGTATAATTTTGATTATGTCCATCACTACAATACATCTCTCTGTGATTGGTTGTATTCAGGAGAGGTTGTCTACCAACCAATAATGATTGATTTTCATGATGATGATGATTACTGTTGTGGGAGTGGCCTATTGGGTTAAGTTTAACAGCTAGCTTTTCTGCCATGTGAACTGGTAAATGCTTGTGTTGTGAATGAGCACAGTCAATGAGGTAGCCGACAACAGGCATCTGTAATCTGACTGACCATGGATCTGGCTCTGGTGTTTCTAATTCCTGGAAAAAAAAAGAAATATAATGTAGTTTAATAAGGACTACAAATGAAATGAGTCGAGCTCTTCCTACATGAAAATATATGTGCAAAGCTAATATAATGAAAAAATATAAACAAGAGCATGATTTCAGTTATGATGAATTTTTAGTCGTGTAAATTGTTTATTTGAAGGATTAATTGTTTATTGTATAAATCATTTATAATGACATTCAATAGAGTTTAATAATCTCTCCAGCTTGAACTACCATAATCTGCAACATATCCTAGCTTTTATGCTCTGAGTAGCAACTGCATATATGTAATATGTAAAGAAATCTATTATGGTTAAAAAGAGGACACTTTGGAAAAGCAATTTAATAAATATAGTAGATTCTTCCACTCGTAAAGTTTGATGTGACCTTTTTTTTCAGCACAAGATTGTTGAATGTTTAAGTAATAAAAGAACAGAGTTCCTATGTCCCCCGCATTGCACATATTTTATCTATCCAAAGATCAAGGGCAATAACTAGTAAAACTGTTGATAAATATCTTAGAGAAATGAATGCTTCAGAGCAAATTCAATGTGATTTCTAATATGACTAATATTTCAAAGGGGCATAACTTGTTAAAAATATTTGATCAGCACTTATTTTCAAAAGTGTCAAAGACATTGCTGATATAAACCTATGATATAAATTTCATAAAATTCTGGCAAGAATTGTACACATGAGAGCGCTAACGATGCAATTTTTCATATAATTAATATTTCCAAGGAGCACAACTCTATTTAAAATAATTGATCGGCACTGATTTTCGAACTTGTCCAAGACATTGCTGATATAAACCTACAATATAAGTTTTATAAAAATCTGCCAAGAATTGTACTGTGAGAGCACTAACAAGACCGGATAGACAGACGCCCAGTATTTCTATGTTCCCCCGCAAAGTGTTGCGCTGGGGACAATAAAACACAGGGTGAAAAATTCTTTTTAAGAGTGTAAAAATGTTGAACTTCAAGAAATGCAATGAAAGAATCCCATTTCTCTGATGATTTCAGAAAATATATGGTAAAAAATAACATCCTTTTCTAGTATTCTGCAAAAAATTATATTTTAACATCAAGATTTCATTATGAAAGGTTACTGTTTTACTAGTTTCTGTACCTTATAATTTGGGATGACATGCCATCAAAATGAAAATAAAGCAGAGGACCTAAAAACACACCAAGTTGGTCATAACTCAATTATAACCATGAAAAGATGATAGTTTGTTAAAAATACAGCCAGTGAGACATTAAATTTGGTGCTGGTGAAGATTTTGAGAAAACTTAAAAACTGCAGAATCATGAATGTAAGAACTGATTGCTTTGATGCTATTTTTCAAAAAATTGAAAGAAAATGAAGAAATGAGAACAATGACTGGTTATTCTACTTGTAAAGTATATGATCCTTTAAGTGAGATGTCATTTCACACCCCTTTATTCTTTGACAAACTGGTATGGAGATGACTTGCCTGTAACAACTGATAATGAAGTAAATCTTTCATCTGTGGAAGTTCTTGTCTATCTTTAAATGCTAATGGTGATCTACCATCCTGTAAAAAAACACAGTATATGATAGCTGTCAATTCTTTCTGTCTTGCAAAGGACAGATAATTGTTATAAAATTCAATATTGTGAAGCATTGACAACTTTACGCAAACAATTTCACTTCAAACCTCCTCTACCTAAAAGACATTTATTTCTTTGATCAATTTGCAATCTCATCAATGTTTAGAATGAGTTTTAAGAAATCTTGGACCAAAACTTGGCAGGAATATATTTTTTGTAATAGACTTCTTCAAAATAAGAGATTTTCCTTCCACTTAGGCATAATTATCTGATGAATAGCTAATAGGCCTAAACTTGTGATACTATGTAGTAATATATCACAATTAGTTGACATTATAAATGTAATCTAACCATATCAAAATATAGAGACATAGATACAATTACATACACCCCTTAAAGTGATCACAGATAAAGTTGTGACACTTTGGGCTCAATATAGGCATCAGTTTCCAAATCATGCAGATGGACAAGCTCACAGGAGAAATCTTATATAATCGTAGCCCAAAAAGGACATAATTTTCTTTAAGTTTACTAAAATTAGGCTGTTGGTCTAGTGGTTTATTATTTAAACATTAGTCTGAAATGGTGTTTCACAGCTTGCCACATAATATAGAGGTCATTGTTATCATCTGTAAGATGATCTTTGGATATTTTACACTTTAGTGAGAGCTGTTCTGTTGAACTTTTCTACTGTGGATTCATTATACAGGTGAACCACAAATTCAATAGTTCAACAAAGTATAAATTTTCTATAGGCTTGTATGCAGACTTCTAAAAAACTATGAAATCAAATATTCACGAAAAATACATTTTTTATTCTTAATCAACGAAAATGGGTACCCACAGAATTAAATGAATCCACAGTAATATACAGATAACTGGCAGATTCCATATAAGAAATTGAAATGTCTGTCAAAATGAATAAATAAATAAAAATAATAATGACTGTTTTTTTAAAGATAATCTGTGAATGTTTTGAGGAATAATGATGTTAGAAGAAATTATAAAAATAATTTTTGGATATGATTGTTTCCGTTTAAAGTAGAAATTATTAAAACAAGTTGAAAAAATGCAAATATTTTGACAGAATTAACTCCCATTTTTTTACACAATGTTTATGTGTTGCAATGCTTTATGTTGACACTTGTATACTGGTATTTACTAGTGTAGTCTGGTTATTCAAACATCCCTGTTCCCAAATTTCTTACTTTTTTTAGTCAAAAACATCTGTGATATATATTTTTTTTCACTTTCAAATATCTTGCTTTATAGCTCAGTGTCTGTCAATAAATCTTATGTCAGGAACATCGCTGTAAAAACGTTCAAAATCATTGTAGGTTCCAATATATGCCAGTTAAAACTGTAAGTCATGCTGTGCATAAGAAAAAACACATGTTGATTCTTTCATTTAACTTTATTCAAGCAATAGTTTTAACTTATATGTTTCCTACATAAGATCTGTCAAACTTGTTTTCTTATGTCTGAAACATTTGAATGTGCTAACAGTTAAAGTTCTTTGACCTGTAGTGAAATCTTGTTAGATGTTAGGCTGCAGTATTTTCCAGGAGTTTTAAAAATGACTTTCAACTAGGATTTGATTTCCAATGTCAGTCAAAAAAAACAAATATATATTGTCTGTCAAAATATCTTATGTATGAAAAATCTTATGTCAGAATCAAGTCTGTCAAAATCTTATGTCAGAAACTCAATTTGTCTGTCAAATCTTATGTCAGAAATAATAAAGTCTGTCAAATCTTATGTCAGAAAAAATAAAGTCTGTCAAATCTTATGTCAGAAATAATAAAGTCTGTCAAATCTTATGTCAGAAAAAATAAAGTCTGTCAAATCTTATGTCAGAAACAATAAAGTCTGTCAAATCTTATGTCAGAAACAATAAAGTCTGTCAAATCTTATGTCAGAAACATAATATTTAAGGCTTCGTTTATTTAAAAAGGATGATGCTCATAATTTTTTTTTGGTCAAATTGTCTTTATCTTTATTAGTAAAGCATGTATTCAAAAACAGAAGTTCATTGCTTATGATTTTTGCCTAACGTGCTTATGGGAGTTGTTTCACTTTCTTATATGGAATCTGCCAACTTTTTCATCTATATATACTTTCCCTCAATTCATGGCTACACTTTTATAATGCAAATAATTTTAGTAGTCTAAAAAGAGCCCAAATTAGTGAGAGAGAGAGAGTACAGTACATCTAAACTTAATTTTAACAAATGTAGTTAAGACAGAAATTTTTTAAGGCAGTTATGAAAAGTAGAAGTTTATTTTTGAAACAAAAAATACGTATCTCCCTATTTCATTTGTAAAATTACAAAGGAGGACAGTAACTTTAAAACAAATTCTTGAGCCACAAAGTTAATGTTTTGCTATAGGAACAACAAACCCCCCCCCCCCCCCAACCCCCCCCCCCCCCCCCCCCAACAACAACAAAGCATAGGAATGTGGTCAAAGAACTGAAAAATTTGAAATTGGACTTTTAGGCTTTACCTATAATGGTCCAGTATCCAAAATCTTAATACATGGCTGAATTCAGCATATCAAAAGAACCCTAGATATTCAATTTTTGTTGAAATCAAACAAACTTTATTTTCGTGGTTTGTTTGCTGTCACGAAACCCCAGTAAAATTGGTATACAAGGAATAACTTAACATTGACCAATGAACCATGAAAATGAGGTCAAGGTCAGATGACACCAGCTAGACAGACATGTACACCTTACAATCATTCCATACACCAAACATAGTTGACCTATTGCTTACAGTACTTGAAAAACAGACCAAAACATTAACAAATGACCAGTGAACCAAGAAAATGAGGTCAAGGTCAGATGAAACCTGCCAGTCTGACATGTAACCCTTACAATCATTCCATACAACACATATAGTTGACCTGCTGCTTGTAGTATCTGAGAAATGGACTTAATAACGTAACTTTAACCTTGATCACTGATCCATGAATTGAGGTCGAGGTCAGGTTAACCCTGTCTGATGGACATGTAGACGTTGCAAGGAACCAACATACCAAATATAGTTATCCTATTACTCATAATAAGCAAGAAATTCACATGACAAAAAAAATGTAGATTTTTTTCAAGCAGTCACTGAACCATGAAAATGAGGTCAAGGACAATGGACATATGACCGACGGAAACTTCGTAACATAAGGTATCTGCATACAAGGTATGAAGCATCCAGGTCTTGTACCTTCTGAAATATAAAGCTTTTTACAGATAGTTTATACCGCTGCCACCGGATAGTAATACCTATGTCTCGCATACTGCGACGAAAATACTGCGACTTTCGTCGCAGGCGAGACAAAAATGAATCCACAGTAAGCAATTTATACTAAATATTAGAATAGTATTGTTTTTTGGTCCCCTTTTCCTAAATGGTTAGGGCCATAACCCCCAAAATCAATCCCAACCTTCCTTTTTTGGTATGGAACCTTGTGGTACAATTTCATACAGATCCATTGACTTATACTAAAGTTACTTGGTCCTCTATTGTTTGTGCTATTTATAAACGACCTTCCCTTATGCATTGAAAATTGTGAAACAGACCTATATGCTGATGACACCACTCTTCATAAATCAGGGAAAAACATAGAAAATATACATGAGGATGTTCAAGAAGATTTATACAGGGTTGAAGAGTGGTGCAAAATGAATAACATGTTCAATAATGCAAACAAAACAAAATGTTTGGTTACTGGAACAAAGCAGAAACTATCAATTCAGACTTATCAACCAAACTTGATAATAAATTCAAAAGTATTACAAAATTCTTCATGTGAACAATTATTAGGTGTTAAAATTGACAGCACACTTAGCTGGAGAAATCAAATTGACCAAGTTTGTGCTAATATATCATCCAGAATATACCTTCTTTCTAAAATAAAAGAAATTTTTAGATATAAATGCAAGGAAAACATATTACAATGGGTATATTCTGCCCTTGATTGACTACTGCTGTATTATTTGGGGTGAATGTAAAAATGAAGGGATAACAAGAATTTTAAAACTCCAAAAAAGGGCAGCAAGATTAATTCTAGATGCAGATCCTTTATCCCCCTCAGCCCCCTTATTTAAAGAACTTGGGTGGATGACAGTTGACAATAGAATCAAATACCACAAATATTTACTTCTATATAAATGTATGCGTATGGAAGCTCCAATGTACCTAATTCAAAAGTTTAAACTGAAATCAGATAATAATCCTTACTCCTTGAGAGGTGTCACTCAAGGTAATATGATAGTTCCTAAGCCAAAAGCTGAGCTATTTAAGAAATCTTTTGTTTATTCTGGATCAGTGTTATGGAATGGACTACCACAGAAAATGCGTAAAGCTCAAAACACTTATACTTTTAAACAAAGTATCAAGAAGTACTTAACACAGTCCTGATAAGATTATGTTTTCTACAATGTATTTGTATATTCTTTTATTTTTATTTTTATTTGATTTTTTGACTACATGTGCATCTTGAACAGCCTTATATCTTATCATGTTAGTAATATTACATTGAACTAATTGACTGTAAATTAACTATGTGTAAATATCTGTTTTTGATTGTATTGTAATTTGTATGTGAGGGCCTCAGGGAAGATTAGTTTATTGTAACTAACTGAGTTTACCCTCTTTAAATAAAGAATTTATTATTATTATTAATATTATTGTCCGGAAACCAGGAAAACAAGAAAAATGCTTGTTTTTGGTCCCTTTTTGGCCACTTATTCCTAAACAATTAGGACAAGAACCCCAAAAAGCAATCCCAACCTTCCATTTGTGGTATTGAACCTTATGGTACAATTTCATAGAGATCCATAGACTTATACTCAAGTTATTGTCTGGAAACCAAATGGACAACAACTACAACAATGACGTCATACCTTGTATAAAAAAAGATTAAAAGTGTTGATTTTAGATAAAAGGTGTCTTCCACCAATACCAGTTGGGAAAAAACAACTTATTAATGAATTTTAAAATCAACTAAATAAAAAACTTTCCACATACATATTAGTTACACATATGTTTTTGTCTAGGTAAGTCATTTACCTTGTCTACAGCAAAGTCTGATGAACCATAATCCATTAATATGTCCACAAACTCTTTTCCATCTGGCATTCCATAGGCATAGTGAAGAGCTGTCCTGAAAAACTATTAGGTGACAACAATCAGTTATTGTGAAAATATATTGTTTTAAGCTTTATTATAGTCAACAGTAAACATATAAAAAACAGATTCATAGTGTTGATGTCAGTTAAAATATGAAATTCTCATAAATAAAGTATTGTATCATAACATCAAACCTAGTCTTTATGGATACTCCCTACAACAATTCATAAAAGTAGGTCCAAAATCTCCGCACACCAGTTTGAGGAAATCAAAAGGATTATTAATATGGTATTAAGGCAGTGAAAAGATAAGTGATTAAAGCTTCCTTTCATAACCATTTAGTTACAATGACCAAAGACAGATAATCACATATATTTTTATCAAAGTCTGAACACATTTACCAACAAAGTACAAGAGAATTATAAGAGATGTAACAATGTTAACTTTTATCATAATATTCTATATGTTCAATATATATTGAAGCAGTACTGGTTTTATAGAAGTTTTATTAAAAGAAATCTGGGTGTCCCTATGTCTGTTGCAGTTAATACAATTCCCTTTTCAGGTATAAACTTGCAATAAATCAGAACATTGTTTTTTTCGTCTGAATTATTTCACATTTTGTCATGTTGTGGCTCTTTAGAGCTGACTATACACCATGGGTTTTGCACATTGATGAAGCCATATGGTCACCTAAAGTTGCTTCGTTTGGACTCTGTTGTATATTTAATTCATTGGCAATCGTACCACATCTCCTTATTTTATAATGAATCACAATTTACTGCAAAACTTCATGAAAACCCTAAAGAATACCACTAGATAGATAATTTTAAAAATCCTTGCAGATATTTAGTTAATAAAATCACTCAAAATAATCCAGACTTAAAAAGATGTAAAAATGAAATTTTCAACCTGAACCCATTCCTCATTTATCAAACATAAACAGTGACCACTGTCTTTTTAAAGACCTTGATATTATAATTTCTTATGGTAATATTCATACCAAAATTAAAGATAAACGGGATGACTCTTCCTTGCCTTTTGTTAAGTTCTTTTCTTTGATGATCAGTTGGATCCTTCTTATCAAATGCACATATCTCAGATAATTAGTTTGTAAATATAATAAAGTAAGAAATTTTCCTTCAAATCTTTCTTTGGCTTAATAGACTTATTGATAAAGGTTATAATTATACAGATATTGTTCAATCAATACACGTCTATTGTTGAAGAACATGTGTTAATCTCTAGATGTCTATTGATTTATTGCGTCATTGGGTTTCTATCTCATTGGAATATATCCCACATCTCTTTTTATTCATATTGGCATTGGATGGTCTTGCCTACTGATTATATAGATATTATCTGTTTGTATATTTTTTACTACCCATAAACAATACCGGTAGTTTGTTTACCTGATCTCTGACTGAATCCAATTTTTGTTTACATTGATAAACCAGTGATTCTGCTATCTCACAACAAGTCTTCATATCTTTTCTTAACACAGCTTTATGTAAGGCTGGCTGACCTTTACCCTGGGCATTAAGAAAACATACAAGTTGTCAAGTAAATTATTTTTGACAGTGGAAGAAAATTTGAAATACATAACATTGAGGCATATTTTCAGTAAAAACCTTTCTAAATTACATTTAATTGATAAATTCAACAACTCCATATTATCTTGATGATATTTTTTCAATAAATAATCAAAAATTCTCTAAATAAACTGCTGAAATTTACCCAAAGGAACTTAGTTAATTTCAGTTTTACACAGAAAACTCTATACAAAAATTTACGACAAAAGAGACGATTTTTCCTTCCCGGTTGTTAATTTTCCTTTTCTATACGGTGATGTTCTTTTGGCACCATCTTACGGTGTTTATATATCCCAACTCTTTTACTATGCCCGTGTCTGTAGTGATGTTTTGGATTTCATCAAACATGATCTATGTATTACTGGTAAATTATTAAGTCAAGGATTTCATTACAAATAAACTGCTTCGCTGAGCGCAGCTGGATACGCCCGCAGAGGTCTAACCCTGAACAGTTGGGGCAAAAATGGACACAATATTCAAGCTTGATACAGGTCTGAATTTGGATTGTTAGTAAATATTTGACATACATCTATTATAGGTTTCTGAATAAATGTAGTCAAAGAACTTGAAGTTGGTTATATGAATTGAATTTATATTCAATTAAAGATTTCTTGCTGTTGTGCAATACACTGTGCTGTTGCGCAATACTTAGTAAATCTGTTGTCAGACTATAAACAAATAAAATTTATAAAATTCTAAAGGGAGCTTACATCAATAGATATAAACAGTTCACCAAAGTTTCATACGAATTGCTGAAGCATTTTTGAGTTTTTGTCTGAAAACTGGAAAATCCCCCCCTTTTTTAATGAATAAACCCCATAATTCGGAAATGTAAAATCTAAAATTTATAAAATTCTAAAGGGATCTTACATCAATAGATATCAACAATTCATCAAAGTTTCATGAGAACTGCTGAAAGCATTTTTGAGTTATTGCCCGAAAACTGGAAAATCCCCCTTTTTTTATGAATAAAACCCCATAACTCGGAAACGTAAAATCTAAAATTTATAAAAATCCAAAGGGAGCTCATGTCAATAGATATAAACAATTAACCAAAATTTCTTGCAAGTTGGTGAAAGCATTCTTGAGTTATTGTCCAAAAACTGGAAAATCCCCCTTTTTTTAATGAATAAAACCCCATAACTCGGAAACATAAAATCTAAAATTTATAAAAAACGAAAGGGAGCTCACGTCAATAGATATAAACAATTCACCAAAGTTTTAAGCAAATTGGTAAAAGCGTTTTTGAGTTAATGTCTGACATGTTGACGACGGACGGACGGACAGACGGACGGACGGACGTACAACGGTATACCATAATACGTCCCGTAAACGGGCGTATAAAAATTACTTAAAACCTTTACTAAAAAGATCTGGTTTGGAAGTTTGGTTATACCTGCAGAAAACTTATCATAAACGGGAAAGCACATCCTAATTTTTAGTGATGTTGTTTACCAAGCCCGTAAATTTAGATACGATCCCTGTAAATTTGTTGATCCTTTAAATAAACTTAGGTTACCTATTCAACACTAATTAGATCTCTGAATATTGTTTTTATCGGTAAAATATTGATTTTGTTACCAATAAATTAAACCCAAATAAAATATTATTGTTATACACCTATGTGCATTCACAGTTCTACAATCTGTTGATACCTATATATCTTGGCATTGCACAAGGTCATGTTTTTCTCTGACTGTTAATGACATCTTTACACTAAATCCATTGGCTGTTAGATGTGTACTGATTGATATTTTAGTCTAAGATGCATGATTTTTCTATTAGCTGTGTTTGGCTTTGAACTAGCGTTCAGTAACTGTGAGTACTCCCAGATCGGGTCCTCTTGTCATGAATTGTGAATTTGTGCACAATGAAGTTTTGAAATATGTGTATGAAGGCATATTTCTAGTCTCTTGTCTTCTGAGACTTTCATTGCTGGAGAGAACAAAATCTATATTTTAATCTTTTTTATGACCTGTACCCTGATTTCTGAGGGTAAAATCAGAGAATCACACAAATGTATGTAATTAAGCAGGTTAAAAAATATGTAACAATATGAAGCATTATCACTTGCATTTTATGCACTGTTTTACAATGCATAATTTTCATGGTGATTAAGACATTTTATAAGCTGCCATTTTATTAAAGCTCTCCATAAATAAAGATTTGTTCTCTATTTCTGTTGGCAAACAGGAAAAAAGGGGACATTGGTTGAGATAATAAATAGGTTTCATAGTTTCAACTACCTGGATCCTACTATCAGCCAAACAAGTCTGTAACTGTATACATTTGTTGCAATACATCAAATCTTTAACTTTTTCACTTTCACACAATTCAACTGCTTCATGGAAATCTTCAATTTGATTCTGTATACAAAAGAAAAAAGATAAGAAAATAAATGAAGGAGTTTTTATATATTCCTGTATGGAATCAAATGATAGATTCAGTCACTGATCTTTTTTTAGATCTTGTATTGCTCATTTTGCTATTTACAATTTTCTGTCTGTTGGATGATCTTGACATTCTGATCATTTCTACATACCATAAGGATCATTCAGACCAAGTTTGGTTAAATTGGTTCATTGGTTTCAGAGGAGATGATTTTTAAAAAGTAACACCAACAGACGTCAAGTAATGGCTCATATGGCCCATAGGAAGCTGGAATCTGCAACTTTTATCTTTGTTTACTTTGACCTTTAAAGTAGAGACCCTACCTGTTTTTTGTTGTCTGCACACCAGAAGGAAGTAAACAAGAATACTAATTATCATTTATCTCCAAGCAGCAATGACGATTCGGATTGGACACAATTCGTGAAGGAAACATAGAATAACATATTTTAGAATCAGGATATTTATTATAAAATCAATATTATTGTATGTGCTGTAAGATGAAATTGTTGTGAATTCTGCAGGTTGCAAATCAAAAAATCAACTCACTATATAATCTTTCACAGATTCTGAATATGCTTCCTCTTGTTCATCAACTTGCCCCTAAAATAACATATGATTATTGTATCATAAATAAGTACAATGATTAACATCATCATAATCAGTAATCATTATCAAATCATATATCTTCACCAAGGATCCGGAAATTTTCCCAAGTCATTTCGGTCATTTTTTTTTGTGATGTAATAATATCGTGATGCACAATAATGCATTTTTCTGAGGGTGACAAGTCTTGCCCATGGACAAGTAAAGTCCTTTTTTGTGAAGTATTGGGTCAAACAAGTGTAACTGTACCCTGATCTAACAGTAACAGTGATGTCTCTGAGTTAGAAACTACACGAGGAGACGTTTTGTTGTTGTGTATTGCATCACTGAGGTCGTATGCATAACCCTTTAAATTTGCATAAATTAAAAGAGGAATAATTACGGCATGTTTCATCATTTTGAAATAAAGTTATGTAAACCAATTAATAAACTGTGTTGAGTTTCTTATTGCATGTACAAGATATCGTTTGTATTGTTCAAATTGCTGCTGTTTGGATGAGTGTAAGTGATTACCTAATACACAACAAGATAATGTGTATTCACCTGGTTTACGATAAGAGGATCAAAAAGGGGAAACTATGATTCAACTTTTCTTTGAATAAATAACTCAAGTCTGGTATAATGATAACAATTGAATTTAATAATAAAATTCATGATTTTAAATAAATAAATAATTTATCTGAACAGAAGTTTGTACACAATTACAACAGTTCAATGAAAAACAATTGCATTGTAATACAGTCCAGAGAGAATGTATGGCTTCACTTGGGTAAAAATCGGAAGTTTAGCCAGGAAAACAAAAGAAAGGATAACGCCCATTACATTCTGTGAGTAAGATGGTTTCAAAAAATCTGAAGTGCAAAAAAAACAAAAAGAAATCGAGATTGTTCATTCGCTGAGTATATTTCTTAAATAGGCTGTATGGCTTCAAATCTAAATTACGTTATTTAGTTTTAATTCCTTTTTTAAACATTTTTTTTAATTCTGCATTCCTATAAATTATACGCTTTACCACTTTTGTAAATCTATTAATATCTTTATCTGCCATTTCCTACCGAAAAGTTAACAGTAAAATCGATCTTTCAAATAAGATCATCAATTAACCCATGTTGATCCCCATTTTCCATGCGCAAACTCAGTAAACATAAATCTATATTTACCAAACGTTGACCAAATCAGCTGATCGATTATAAATGGATTATATGTTTTATTTGGATAAAAATGGACAGATTCTCGAGTCAACAGTGTTATTTGACTTCTTTAATGAATAAAATAATATCTTTTTGGGAAAATCTAGGTCAGAATGGTTAAAACGTTAAATTTGATGCACAGCAAATCGCCATATTGTTTTTATTGCTTAACAGGTGTTTACAGGTGAGATTTGTGTACATGGCCTTTATGGCTTTAATCAAGACAATAACGACACCCAAGCCGAATTCAAACTTCCTGGACATTGATTACTATCCTCAAGTGGTGATAATTACTATGTAAACAAACCTAGTGGCTTGAACCCAGACTTACCCCACGGTGTGACTCGACAGAGTCCTGTACATTGTTTTCACTTACATTATAGAATAAACAACAGACTAATGATAAATATTATTAAATCACTAACACAAATCAATAAAATTTTTATTTTGTCTCAAACAAATCTATTTTTCTTGATGACCTGAAAACAAAAATAAGTTCAAAATGGCGACCGATAAAACCCTGATCTCAATGAAATGACCGAAATTATTTCTGTAAAAAAAAAAAAAAAGACCTAAATCCCAATAAATCATTTCGGTCTTTTCAGTTTCCAAATCGGTCATGTCTGGCATATATGACCGTTTCCGGACCCTTGATCTTCACTATTGTTTTTAATTTTATGAAAATTCCTTTATTTGAAAATAGATAGACTTCATTCAATAAAAATTGGATAAAAAACTATGGAAAAAATAAAGTTAAAATTCTTCAATAATTAACCTGCAATATCTTGGGAATATCTGTATAACCATGCAAGAGTAGAATCTGTTTCTGTTTGCTATATTCTTCACTGTTACACCATAAACTGACATACTGAAAAAAAAAAAATAACAGGTATGCAATCATCTCTTGATTGGACTATTCAACTTAGCAAATAATGACTGACAAAATGCATATAATTCTTACATTGTTAAAAAGAAATTAACGTCTTATTGCAAAATAACTTTGTTTATTTTTTAGTCCAACAAACATTCAAAGTATGGATACATTTGGAATTGTCTTTATCCAATACAGCATAGCAAATGCAAGTTAGTTTCATTTCAATAAGATAATAACAAAACCTTCTAGCTGTTTAAAATAAGATCGGCTTGATTCAAGGAATATTACAATAATTCATATCTTAAGACACAAGAAAATAAGGAGATTTGGTGTGATGGCCAACGAGACAACTATCAAAAAGAGATCAAAAGTTGATGATTAAAACAACTATATAGCACAGAAAGGCCTTCACCCAAGAGCAAAACACATACCCTATAGTAAGCTGTTAAAGGCCCCTGCATAACAAAATGTGAAAAAATTCCAAAGAGAAAACCCACAGTCTAATTCATGCTAAAAACAATAAATGAAAAACAAATAAGGCACAAGAATAGTTGTTTAACTTGGTAACTAATCTGAAAATTTACTAATTGTGTCCTTTTCCCTGTTTAACAGTCTGTCTGGTGATCATGAATAACAGTAGATACTTAGCCTGTCGACGCACCCAGCCTAGCCTTATTTGGACTTCATGCAATTTCCTCCGGTTTTATTGCAAAGGAAATAAAATTTTTCCCTGAATCAGTTGGTGTTTATCAGGGTATTTGTAATTTTACACTCTGAACTGTCCCATTTATATCACTACATGGAAATGGAAAGTTCACAATTAGGAGCTGAAATCATCTCTTTTGTCATAAAGTTTTGTTTTCAACCAACCCTCATCGTCAATTTCTAGATGTAAGTCAAGATATTAGGCAGACTTAACTGTATCTGTTGTATCCTTTATCTCAAGTTCGATGGGATAGATGCATTCAACATAGTCACTAAACTTTGAATTATTTAGTGAGAGAACATCATCTACATAGCAGAAATTGAAGTTAAAGGATAAAGCTCCTGTATGAAGTCAGCCTCATATGAATATAGGAACAAGTCGGCAAGAAGAGGAGCACAGTTGGTTCCCATGTGAAAATTGTGTTGAAAAACATGTCCTCCAAACGTAACAAATATGTTGTCAATCAAGAAATAACGCATCTTGATAATGTCAGTTTCAGAGAATTTTTTGTTTGAATCAGAGGGATTTTTTACAGAGTACGATTTATCCCTCTCTAAGACAAGAAACTTGTTTCTCTAATTTTCATGCTTTTTTCACATTTCTTGATCTGTGTGAGAAAAATTTTTCTCGTCTCTAGTGAAAACTTTGTTCTCTGCAAATGAATAGTGGAAATTCAATTATGACGTCAAATTTTCTTGTTTTCTTCTGAATTTTCTATTGTGACGTCATGAAAAAAGGCGACCATGCCTGGTGACATCACATAAAAAAAACACATCTTTCTGCATATCTTTGAAAAGGAAGGATAAACTTTGTTTAGATATCGTCTAAAAATCATTAGAGAAACAGATTCCACCACTATAACTCGTGTATTACGATATTTCTCCACTCTCAACAGTTAAATTCTAATTATTTAAAAAGCCGCGCTTTAAATATTAAAATTTAAATGCCTCGAGTGTAAAAATATCGTAACACACTTGATGCAGTGGTGGAATCTATATATCTGTGTAGGCCATTCTTTTTTTATGAAACAAAGCAGGATCAACTTTTTCAATTTGTCTTTTAGTTTGGAATGGGGAAAACTTGTGTAAAGTGTAGAAAAGTCACATGTTTTAATACTATTGCAAGATGAAAGAGTCTTAGATTGTATGTACTCTAAAAGATCTTTGGAATTTTTAGTATCCACATCTGATTCACAGCACCTCTAGAATAGGTAGTTTCACAATAACTTTCAAGTCTGGCTTTGATTGCTGATAAAATTGATGTTAATAATTTAGAAAGAGGTTTTGTGGAGCACTTGGAAGACCCAGCAATATAATGTTGTTTGTAAGGACATTTATGTAATTTAGGTATCCAATACAGTGAAAGAAGATCCAGTTCTTTATCTTTGGTTAAAATTCCAAAGAAACATAGAACAGACCTATGATTATCCAGGATTTCCTCCTTGATAAGTGTCGTTGGGGTCTGTGTTGAGTTTCCAAGTGAATTGTCAATCCCTAATTCATTTATCAAGCAGTTCATGTCAGGTGATTTAAACACAAAAACGATGTTGTTAGGGGCTGTATCTGCGAGGACAACAACATATTTGTCATGGAGGTAGGACAGGTGTTTTGCACAATTTGGGTTTTTAAAGATTGATGCAGCATAGGTATTCATAGACCCGTTCAGTTTTTTAATTCTGATTTGTATCAACGACCTCACAGTCTTAATCCATTTGGAAAGAGTATCTACATCTTCTTTCTCGCGTTTAATCCATTGCCTGGCATAATCCTCGACTGAATGATTTGAAAATCTCAATAAAACATTTTATCCAAAATAGATTCATTGAACAGTATAACAGGTCTTTAAATATTATCTTATATACTCACCTTGTCAATTATTTTCACAGCATTATCACAGTTTTCTTCTACTGCATAGTCTCTAACTGTCATGTTGTCCTATAAAATATAAACCAAAAACTGCACAAGAAAAATCTTCATTTCACAGATTACAGTACAAAAACTTGTAGAAGTTATAATGCATCATTCATCTGTTTTGAACTTTCCTCTTACATTAGGCACATTTGTCTAGGGAAAAAATGAATAACTGTGATGGCAATTTGAATACCACTTTCCTGTGGAGTTTTAAAAACTTTTAAGCATTTACACCACATCTTATGTCATGTATATTGTATACATTCATAAACATTGTATTTCATATCTGATCTTTATCACAGTATTGAAATCTATATTTATATCAATAGCTTGCCTGTACATTTTATTTTTATTTTGATCATTGTGGTGTTAAATTGAAATGGGTTACATTATTTAGTTACATACAATTAATAAAATAAATGCTTCGCTGAGCGCAGCCTGATACGACCGCAGTGGTCCAACCCTGAACAGTTGGGGCAAATTTGGATACAATATTCAAGCTTGATACTGTCTGAATTTTGATTGTGATCAAATTTTTGACATAATAAAGGTTTCTGACACAAAATAAATGTGGTCAAAGATCTTACAAATCTATTGCCCAATACTGCGCAATTGAAGATTTCTTCTTTAAACTTTTAAAAAATTTGAAATTTGAAATTTTTTGAAAAAAAACATGAATTCCTTAAAAAAATTGGAAAAAAAATCCCCCCCCCCCCCCCCCCCAAACAAAACTTTTGGAAACCCCCCTTGGAGCAATTACTCCAAGACTCAATCCCATACTTCCCTTTGTAGTATGGAACCTTGTAGTACAATTTCAGAGAGATCCATACACTTACACACAAGTTATTGTCCGGAAACTACAAAAATTGTTGTTTTTGGCCCCTTTTTGGCCCTTAATTCCTAAACTGTTGGCCCCATAACCCCTTAAATGAATCTCAACCTTCTACTTGTGGTATTAAACATTGTGGTACAATTTCAGAGCAATCAAAATACTTGTACACAAGTTAATATCCTGAAACTAGAAAAATGCTTGTTTTTGGCCACTTTTGGGCCCCTAATTCCTAAATGGTTGGGACCGTCATCCCCAAAATCAATCCTTCCTTTTGTGGTATTGAACCTTCTTAAAAAATTTCATAGAGATCCATTCACTTAAACTAAAGATATTGTCCAGAAACCAATGTGTCTTCGGACGACGACGCAGACGATCCCATACCATTATACGATCCCAAAAATTTTTTTGCAGTCGTATAAAAAAGGAGATAGAAGTATATATCAATGAGACAGTATCTCACACAACAAAATAAAAGTTTAAAAAATCTATGACTGCATATATTTGAAGTAAGTTCCTTAATACAGTCAGTATGATCAATACATCCAAGTCTGCTCTAATCTTTCAACTCTTTTATTTACAGAAAGACCATTTCTTAACATAATCAACAGATTCTGAAATCAGTCCTTACATTTTTAGCTCATTCTGTTATTCCATTTTAATGAAAAGTTAAGTGACTAATAATAATATCCTACTTTTTATTTCACACCATGATTGATTTTTGAATAACAACGGGAAACATTTAGAATTGAGAGAATGAATTGAAAATGTTTGCCTGCAGTTAGAATTGGATGTGTTGCAACGACACGAATGGCCCCGCTCGCAAAAAAAGCTTGAATCCATTTTTAGGAGTGGAAATTTTCAAAGTCCAAAGCCTGTTATTTCAGAAAAAATCAGTGAAGTGGAACCAAACGTAAACTCAATCTGTAACTCATCATAGTTGACTCACATACTAAAAATCAGCTCAGTATGTGAAGGCATTTAGAAATAAATGGGGAATGTGTCCATGGGACACAGATGATGCCCCCGCTTGCATATAATGTTATAAAGGGATATAACTCAAGAACTGTAAAAGTGACCCTACCCAAATTTGTACTTGATCTGAGTTTTGTGGTAATAAGCATTGTGTATACGTTTCATAACATTTGGTTGAGGCAAACTAAAGTAAGAGAACGGAAACGAAAAATTCAGCATTTTTTCCATTTGTAGAGGGACATAACTCTAGAACAGCAAAAGTAACGCCACCAAAATTCGAACTTGATCTGTGTTTTGTGGTAGTAAGCATTGTGTATAAGTTTCATAATATTTGGTTGAGGCAAACTAAAGTAAGAGAATGGAAACGAAAAATTCAGCAATTTTTCCATTTGTAGAGAGGCATAACTCTAGAACGGCAAAAGTGATGCCACCAAAATTCAAACTTGATCTGTCTTTCGTGATTATAAGCATTGTGTATAAGTTTCATAATATTTGGTTGAGGCAAACTAAAGTTAAAGAAAGGAAACCAAAAATTCAGCAATTCTTCCATTTATAAAGGGGCATAACTCTAGAATGGTAAAAGTGACGCCACCAAAATTCAAACTTGATCTGTGTTTTGTGGTAATAAGCATTGTGTATAAGTTTCATAACATTTGGTTGAGGCAAACTGAAGTTAGAGAACAGAACTAAAAAATTTAGCAATTTTTATACGACCGCAAAAATTAAAAAATTTTTGGTCGTATATTGGTATGACGTTGGCGTCGTCGTCGTCGTCGTCTGGCGTTGTCCGGCGTCGTCCGAAGACACATTGGTTTTCGCACTCTAACTTTAGTTTAAGTGAATGGATCTCCATGAAATTTTACCATAAGGTTCAATACCACGAAAGGAAGGTTGGGATTGATTTTGGGGGTTATGGTACCAACAGTTAAGGAATTAGGGGCCAAAAAGGGGCCAAAAATAAGCATTTTTGTAACTTCCAGACAATAACTTGTGTGTAAGTGTATGGATCACTCTGACATTGTACCACAAGGTTCCATATCACAAAGAGAAGGCTGTAATTGATTTTGGGGGTAATTGCCTCAAAATTTTAGGAATTAGGGGCCAAAAAAGGGGCAAAAAACAAGCATTTTTCTAGTTTCATGACAATAACTTGTGTGTAAGTGTTTGGATATTTCTGAAATTGTACTACAAGGTTCCATATCACAGAGGGAAAGCTGGAATTGAGTTTGGGGGTAATTGCCTGAAACGTTTAGGAATTGGGGGCCAAAAAGGGGCCAAAAATAAGCATTTTTCTAGTTTCCAGACAATAACTTGTGTTCAAGTGTATGGATCTCTCTGAAATTGTAATGCAAGGTACCATACCACAAAGGGAAGGCTGGGATTGAGTTTGGGGGTGATGAATCATAAGGGGGTTCAAAAAATTTGGGGGGGGGGGGATTTTTCTTTTTTTCCTTTTTTTTTTTCTTTTAAAATTTTCCATTTTAAGTTGGTTATTTCTGATTTATATTTAAAAGCATATAATAATGATATGGTAGGAGATACACACCAAACAGGATGTGTAAATTATTATATAATAAGTATTGTGCAATAGCAAGAAATTTTCAATTGCACAGTATTGCACAATAGCAAGAAATCTTCAATTGCACAGTATTGCGCAATAGCAAGAAATCTTCAATTGCACAGTATTGCGCAATAGCAAGAAATATCCAAATAGCACAATATTGCGCAATAGCAAGAAATTGTCAATTGTACAGTATTGCGCAATAGCAAGAAATATTCAATTGCACAGTATTGTGCAAAAGAAGATACTTCGTATAAATTGCTTATTTCTTGATCAATTTCAATGGGGTTTTATTCTTGAATTCTTGGGGTTCTTTAATATGCTGAATCTAACCGTGTATTAAGTTTTTGAATTTTGGGGCCCGTTTTTAAATTGGTCCACATTGAGGTCCAAAGGGTCCAAAATTTAACTTTGTTTGATTTCATCAAAAATTGAATTATTGGGGTTCCTTGATATGCCAAATCTAACCGTGTATTTAGATTCTTAATTTTTGGTTCCGTTTTCAAATTGGTCTACATTAAGGTCCAAAGGGTCCAAAATTAAACTTAGTTTGATTTTAACAAAAATTGAATTTTTAGGGTTCTTTGATATGCTGAATCTAAACATGTATTTAGATTTTTGATTATGGGCCCAGTTTTCAAGTTGGTCCAAATCTGGTCCAAAATTAAACTTTGTTTGATTTCAACAAAAATTGAATATATGGGGTTCTTTGATATGCTGAATCTAACCATGTATTTAGATTTTTGATTTTTGGGCCCCGTTATCAACTTTGTCCACATTGAGGTCAAAAGGGTCCAAAATTAAACTTTGTTTGATTTCATCAAAAATTGAATTCTTGGGGTTCTTTGATATGCTGAATCTAACCATGTATTTAGATTTTGGATATTGGACCATAATAGGTGAATGTCCAATTTAAAATTTTTAAGTTCTTAGACCACATTCATTCTGTGTCAGAAACCTATGCTGTGTCAAATATTTAATCACAATCCAAATTCAGAGCTGTATCAAGCTTGAATGTTGTGTCCATACTTTCCCCAACTGTTCAGGGTTCGACCTCTGCGGTCGTATCAAGCTGCGCCCTGCGGAGCATTTTATTCCATTTGTAAAGGGGCATAACTCTAGAACGGTTAAAGTGATGCTACCAAAATTCATTCTTGATCTATGTTTTTTGGTAATAAGCATTGTGTATAAGTTTCATAACATTTGGTTGAAACAAACTAAAGTTAGAGAATGGAAACCAATTTTGGGACGTACGGACGGACAAGGATAAAACTTAATGCCCCCTCTGCTACGACGGGAGCATAAAAAGTCTGTATAACTGTTATTTTCACTAAATTTTCAAAGTCCAAAAACCGTAATTTCGGCAAAAATTAGCTGAGTGGAACCAAAAGTGAACTCAATTTGTAACTCATTATAGTAGACTCACATACTAAAATTCAGCTCAATATGTGAAGGTGTGTAGAAAAAATCCTATATAACTGTTATTTTCATGAAATTTTCAAAGTCAACAGTAATTTTAGATTTATTTATTTGTTGTAATTGGCTTTGGATTGCATTCAGTAACTATGAGTATTTCTTTTTCAGTGCTTTTTGCCTTTTTTTTTTTCTTGTACTGGTCTTTTGAGCTAAGACAATCACAACTGAATTTTACAGTTTGTTCTTATGTTGTGCTGTTACACCTCTGTCCAAGGGTTGAGTGTTCACAAATATGTTTAACCCCACTACATTCTTTATGTGCCTGTCCCAAGTCAGGAGCCTGCAGTATAGTGGTTAATCATTGGTTTGTTTGTCATATTTTTTTTTTCATAAATTGTTTTGTTATTAATTAGGCCGTTAGTTTTCTCGTTTGTATTGTTTCAGATTTTTCATATTGGACTATACGATATGGGTTTTTCTCGATATGGGTTTTTCTCCGTACGGTGGCTTTTAATTGCTTACTGCCATCTCATTTTTAACTCTGATGGATAGTTTTCTAATTGGCAATACCACATCTTATTTGTTTCTTAGTGTGATTTTGAGAAGATTACAGAGTGATTTTGAAATGAAGATCTTTGTGTGAATTTGAGATGAAGAACAACAATAAATGCATTGTTCCTTTGTTTTTGGTTTTATCAAGTACATATGAATTTTGTGTAATGAATTAATATCCCTTTTTTCCCTTAAGATTATTACCTGAATTCTTTGGGTAACTATTTCAGCAGATGATTGTTGTAAAATGGCCTCTATAATATCAGGGTGCATATCACAGTCTATACAATGAAATAATATATTTCTTCCCTATAATACATAAAAGAATCTTCATAAAAATGTATGTTCATTCATAGTCAATAATCCATGTTGTTAATCAATGTGTGTCAATAAAGATAAAATACAGCAAAAAATTTTAATTTTAAAAGCAATTTAAACAAAAGAAACATGGAAGTGTTTTGCATATATTGAAGAAATCACAAATACCAATTAGGCCACACCAATTTGATTTGTAGTTCTTCGGACAAAAGCTCCAAAAAATATGGTGCGAGCGAGCAAAATTTTTTGGATTGTATTTTTTTCTTGAAATTGAGATTTTATGAGGTGGGTGCTCTACAAGTGAAGCGACGGTATAATTTTTTTTTTAAATTGTGCGATTTAGAATTTATGTACATGCTAAAACTTGGTTACTTAATAGAAAAAGGAGAAGAAACATGCTCTAATGTATATAATTTGATGAATTGGCGCATGAACCATACCAACTTTCTTGTCTCGCTGTGGTGGTTAATTTCGATTATTTTCGCCAAATAAGCTTTGTCTGGGTGAATTTGCATTAAAATTCATGCATGTGTATATATTAAGGAAGCATAGAAGATGCAGTTTAACAAGTCTTAGAGGAATTATATTAGGTAAATGACATATGTTGAATAAATTTAAATATGTGTATGTATCTAAAAAATGCCCCTGGAAAATATTTAATATTTTTTGATATAATTGTGTTCATTATATTAATATATGGTAATGATTGTTTATTGGCTGCTTGATGTCCACTTGGAACTATTTATCCATACTTACTAATGATCAACATAATGAGTGAGGTGAATATTTCAACAACATCATGAGTAAGATAGTTATATTGTTATGCATGTAGATCTCAATGTATTAAAATATTCCCTTAAAATACATATACCTGTCACCACATTCACATGCATTATTCTGACAGCAAAATACTCTTTCCTTTTGCTCTTAAAAGCTGCAATGCATTTTAAACTCTTAGCTTGACTAGAAGTGGTTGAACTAATTACACATCCCTAATTATAATGAGCATTCCAATCACAATACCACCACTTTGGTCTCGAAAGTTGGAACTGTTAAATTTTCCCTTACAAAAGAGTTCTGCTTGCATTTCAATAGACTAACAAGGGCATATTGTCATGGGGTTTCATCAAAATAAGATAAATCTGTGATTTTTCTAAGATTCATGGAAATTTAATATTAATTTCATCCAAGATAGATAGGTCTATAAAATAACAAACAATGTAGATAAATTTGTACATAACAGCAGCCTGTGCTTCAAAAATCCACGTAGCAAATCTGAACAATATAGACCCTCAACATAAACAGTCATTCTTTGTAAGAACAATGTTTTATTGGAATAATCTCGTGTGTGCCAAGGCAATTGAGAGCTGTAAAACTTCGGTTGCTCTCACATCGTTGGACTAATTTTCCATTGCCTCTCTTCTGTTGCCATATCCTGGTCTTGCAACGTACTTATTCAGATTCAGGTCTATGTCTGTTGAAACAATGATTAGGGATGACGATGGTTCTAACGAACATTGATATAATCGTGGTCATCTAAAGACAGATTTTTAATATTTGTCTCCTAGAACAGGTCTTCATAGATAAAACGAGATGCATTTTGGATAACTGTGTGTTCAGTAACTACTTCTCAATGGCAATGAGCTGACACAACTACATGTTTGCATCCCGATTTTTGACCTTTTATTTGCCATTCGATTCATCACACGTGTGTTTTAATCGATCAGAGCAATATATGCACAAGAAAAACTTCTATGTGAAAAAAAAATTTCAAAGAGAAACTAAATTTGGAGCGGCATGCGGCCCAAAAATTTGCGGAAGCGGTAATTATTTTTTTTTATTGAAAAGTCAATTTCTCCAAAACAGGAGCGGGAAAATCCAAAGAACTATTAATCAAATTGGTGTGGCCTTACCACAGGGAAATATTGTGAGCTTTTACCTAATGAATAGCCAATAAAAATGTCGAACACTGCAGAATAGACCAACAAAAATAACACATATTTTATATCACTTATTCCTAACATGCTCACTTCAGTGTTATATGAGAAATGTTTCTTTATGATGAAAACAGATAATAGGCAGCAACTATAAGAGAAGTCTTATTTCAACAGAAGGCATAATGGCAGCAAAAAAGTTTATACATGCAAAAAACTGTTTCATTTCACGAGTAAGATTTTCTACACAGGCAAAATAGTTTGTAAGTTTTGATGAATTTTTTATCTGGACATAATTTGAAGCACACTTTAATGGAATTATAAGTAATAAAGGTTATTTTTAGGGAGTTTCATTATGTGTAATCTTGCCTTCCACTTGCAAACTTGAGAGCAAGTAGGCCAAGTTTACACATCAATAAATGTAACCTTTATTACTATATCACTTCCCAATAAAAAAAATAAGGAGATGTAGTAAGCGACACATATCTTCTATAATCCAGAGGTTGTACAAATTTACAGATCAACATACAGCTTCCAACAATGGGAAAGTTCCCTACTCTAAGGTATGCTTCAAGAGGTCAAAAGTAAACCAATGTGAAAAATTCAACTGAAACAACTAAGCCATTTACAATGTCTGTTTGTTGTATTTGTTAGTATTTGGAATACTAAAAGTTTTGAGGCCTAGTTTTTTCTTAAAATAATGTTTATGTGATACTGAATAATTTAATGAACTTTGAATAGTTTGATTTTCCTTGAGATATAAGGAAAAACTAAATCATAGCCAGTTTTTGCCATTAAATACAAAAAAAGTACAATAGAAACTAATCAAAAATTTGAAGTGATTAATTACATATCAACAAGATTTCATCACATTTAAAAGCTAGATGATGCTTGAAACATGTTTACTAGCTGAAACTTGCAGACAATGGAGGGAACCTGCCTATGAATTACAATGTATCAAACTGTTTTTAATACTGTGGATTCATTATTATCTGTGGGATACCAATTTTTGTTGATTTCGTGGGCACAGGTGAACCACAAATTTAAATGTTCAACAAATTCTAAATTCTCTATATGCAGACTTTAACAAAACCACGAAATCAAATATCCTCAAAAATGTAAGTTTTCCTCAATCCACAAAAATTGGTACTCACGAAAATAAATGAATACACAGTATAATAAATATTATCATGACGATGCAAGTAGACTTTTACCTTGTAATACATCTTGTCAACAGAGAATGGTTTCTTTGGTAAGAGTATTTTAAGAGTATGAGCATTAACCACTGGATACTCCATCATAATACTGAAGTAAGTTGGTATATCAAACTGAAAATAAACAATAAAATAATTAACAGTTTGTAAAAGTGCTTCTCAAATGAATAATAACCTTATCACATGGCTCTTTCAATCAGTTTAATTGAGGTCTGGAGCTGGCATGTCAGTAACTGCTAGTAGTCCTTTATTAATTTATGTATCATTGTCATTTTGCTTAGTTTCTTTTGTTTAACCCTGTCGCATTTTTGCGCCTGTCCCAAGTCAGGAGCCTCTGGCCTTTGTTAAGTCTTGTATGTTTTTTTAATTTTAGTTCCTTTATATGTTTTGGAGTTTAGTGTGACGTTCATTTTCAATGAACTAGTACACAATTTTATTTAGGGGCCAGCTGAGGACCACCTACGGGTGCGGGATTTTCTCGCTGCGTTAGAGACCCATTGGTGGCCTTCGGCTTTTATCTGCTCTTTGATCGTGTTGTTGTCTCTTTGACATATTCCCCATTTCCATTCTCAATTTTATCTAAAAACACATCAACTGAAAGTCATAGGTAAAAGTCAATCATCTACCCCAACATATCAATCACTTGGAAAAATTATAGCAATAAAATTTTAACGAATATTTTCTTTTAAAAAGCATGGGGTTTCATCTACTCAGTTAAGTCTTATTTTCATACAAATTCTAGCCAAGCAAGTCAAATGTATATCACTAAAATTTTCCTTTTAATTTATAATCGTGATATTTTAAAATTCATATCCTTATATACATGTACAGTGCAGGTCTATATACCTATAAATGTCTTTAATGGTCCATCAAAATCAAAGTGGGAACATCTATCGTTATATATATATCTATCTTGGAAAATATTTCAAAATAAAGAAAATTTGTCTCATTTTGTATTATCCAGTCAATACCCAGTTTAATCCAGAAACCAGCACTGGAACTACACAGTGCTCTTTCCCAAATGACCTGAATTTGAGTGTGACCACATTTGGGGCATTAACAGTTTCTTTCAATAATTATAAACAAGAGCTGGAATAAGTGTTTTAGGTAGAACAGCAAATTGTGGATACATCTATTAAGGTAATACTAATCAATCCACTTACCTCTCTGTATGTCATACACAGATCAGTCCTGGCTCCAAGCGTTGGCAGGAAGGTTATCATATCTGTGAAATTCTGACATGCTGCATAGTAAAGGGGTGTGGCATTCCTATCTCCCTAGTAAAATAATTGTATAAATGTCAAATTAAGGTGACTTTACCTGTGTTCTATGAATATTAAAAATAACAAGTCAGGTAAAAGAGAGGAAAAAGATATCAAAGGGATACTCAAACTCATAAGTCAAAGACAAGTTGGCAATGCCATGGCTAAAAACGAAAAAGACAAAAAGGCAAACAACAGTCTACAAAACACGAAGCAAAAAATTAAGATGGAGCAACACAAACACCAACAAAAACCAGGGGTGATCTTAGGTGTGCCTTACAGATGTAAACCATGATATTCCTGATAACATATTTGATGTATTACTAATGATTTACTAGATGCTATAAAGACTCTGAATTGTTCATGTGGCTTTCATATTTACAGTGCAAATTTGCTATTGCCACCCCCTGCTAAGATACCTTACAGCATTATCGGAGTTCAAAATAGAACTTAAATTTTGAGTTCATGATAGACAAAATTGATTTATCAATTTAATTTAGTATCCAGAAAACACTTTTCTGTACAATCAGTCTATTTCAGTAACTACAACCATGATCTTTGATATGGTGACCTCAAAATCAATAGGGATCTTCCTTTCATTAAATGTGACCATGTATCAAAGTAGGGTTGCAATCAGATTAAAGTATTTATGTTTGCATCAGGAAACGAAATTGACTAACAGACAGATTATCTAAATTACTGACTGATGGATTGGTCACAAACAATATGCCCCTATAGCCAAATGATTCACATTTATCTAGAGGAAAATATAATGACAATTTATACAAGATATTATCAAATTCTATGATTGAATAATAAAGAATTGACATACATTTATTATATTTGGAACTGTAATATAATAGCCTATTCCCATAGCATCATGAAAATGGGCAAAAACTCAGGACCAAGAAGTGTCCATAGTAGGTACATTTAAATTCACTACATTTTCAAAATGGATGTTTACCATATTTCTAAAGTTGATATTGTATTTTTCTTGACCACCTGTCAAACTTTTCACATACTGAACATCTCCTGCCAATACACCATGAGCAAGTGCCTACAATAGTGTTTACAAATTCTTAAAATATTAATCACCTAAAAATAAACTTTACAGTTTTTTGTTATAAATTCATTTATGGACCAAATGCATGTAGATGTCGTAAAAATATTGCATATGAATTTATTTTAAGATGTTAAAAGCTACACAAGAAAATTGGAGATATCCTGTCCAAAAAATCATACCAGCATGTACATTTTTATTTCTTACTTCTTGATAAAAAGTACTGATATCTGATCTCAAATTAACATTTAACTTTTTCAGCTCTTTCTTTGTCCATTAATTATTTTACACAATATATTTAAGATATAAGTGGTAAATGAACACACAGCAACATTTTATGAAAATATAAACTATATCTTCAATGAAGTGAAAATATTACCACTGATACTTTGATACCACTTATAATTCTGATGACATCTTCTGTTCCTTTTTCCAAAGCCAATTGAAGTAAACTTTTCCCTTCCTACACATATATAAGGTCTTATTATCAGTTATGAGTGTGTCATTAAATTTAGAAACAAGAATATATGACATAGTAAACAATGCCATGCTCCTACTATCACAATTACATGTTCAATGAACTGTGTAATCTGGGTCAAAACCCTAATTAGGTATTTATTTTTAAAAGTTTACATCATAAGGAACATGTGTATTACTATTCCAGTTGAACTTCATGGTAAACTACCTCAAAAAAAAACTTTGACCTACCTTAAACTAAAACATGATCAATGAACCATGAAATTTTGTTAAAAACCTTAATTTGGCATATACATGTATTCTTAAAAGTTTAGCTCATAATGAACACTCTGTTGATAATTATATTTTGGCATTACACAAGGCCATGCTTTTCTCAGGAATGTTTATGACGTTTTACAATAAATGTATTGGATATGTACCAATTGAAATTTTAGTCTGAGAAAACATGGTTTATTTATTAGTTGGAATTGGCTTTGAACAAGCTTGAAGTAATTGTGAGTACTATTAGATATCTTCTGCTTTGTGTCATTTTGTAAGGTGAGGGTTGAGCTCTTACAAACAGGTATAACCCCACAGTACTTTCAATGTGCCTGTCCAAAGTTAGAAGCCTGTAACTTAGTGGTTGTCATTAATTGCTGTCTGTCATATTTATTTTTTTTGTTAATTTGCTGTTTTATCATAATGTTGGTTTTCTTGTTTTACATTTATCATGTTTTACTTTAATATAGGAGTTTTTTTCTCATTTCTGAAAGCTGTACAGTGGCCTAAAATTGCTTACATCCACATCATTTGGTCTAAGGTGGATAGTTGTTTCATTGGCAATCATACCACAGTTCCTTATTTTCAGTTTTATATTGACCAAAGTTTACAAATTCCTCAGGTATCCATCAACCTTCATTTTGATTTTGAAAAAAATGTTTTATTAAATAAATGAATGATGGTAATTATCAATAAGTATTGACACATCTTTTTACTTTCTGTTTTAAAGATCTTTTTTAAAATTGTCTGAATTTGTTGTAAAGACACATACCTTTAGAAATTTGGAGGTAGAAAATTCATTGGTTGATGTAATAATTAGCAAAACAGAAAGTAGAATGGTGTGTTGTCAGATCCTTGTAAGCAAAGCATGAACACAGAATTTGTACTGTAAATTCAGAAATTATTGCGAGGTTTTTATTAATGTGAATAATGCGACTGGATGCGTATCGCAATAATAAGAAGTTGCATTATGATATCTGATTCATATGTCTGTAGGCAGCTTTTCTAGAAATCGCAATAATTAATCTCGTATTTTCATCCATTCTTCAAAAATCGCAACAATAAATGCACGCAATAATTTCTGAATTTACAGTATTTCAATCAGTTTGACCTAATTATTTTTTCACTTTTTATTATTGGGACAAAAATATGCATTCAAGTCCATCATACTCTTGACAGTTTTCATACTTACTACATAAATAGAACAATTATTTACCTTATAAACATCAACTTTACACCACTGATTTACTAATTTTCTTACTGTACTGATATCATCTGTTTCAACTGCATTCCATAAACCAGGCTAAAATTTATAAATAATCATATATATAAATGATATTTCACTTGATCTTTATAATTCCTCTTGTATCCAATATCAATCACTTAATATATCATTAATCTTTTGTCTCCTATCGCAAGAAAGTTAAAAATACTCCAGTCCAAAGCTTACCAGTTTTATCCATACTATAATTAGCCCTATTTGAAATAATTTCATTGAAAAATCTCATAAACAGTACCGGTAATAATGCAGTAAGCACATTAAGATCAGTCTGATTTCAGGCCAAATCAGTCTTGGATTCAAAGGTTAATCATTAAAAAAAAACTTCTAACATTAAAATAGCTTGTAAAAAACAACAGCACATTCATTCAGACAGGAATTAAATTAGACACCATCCAAAAAGAGAAATTATTCTCTCATCTGTTCTGAGTACAATGGTGGTACAGTACATGCATTGTTACATACAATATACATTGTAAAAAGTTTTTCTTGGGGTTTTTAATTTTGCCCATGTAACCCTAAATCAGTGATATTTATAGATCGGAGATGATAATTAAATCTACAGTATCTCTTTTATAAATTTTGTTAATGTACATAAGAAGTTAAACATAGAAACACATGTTCATTAAAACAAAATTGGAATTTTTATGTTGAAGCAATTTTTATCTAACATAACAAGTTATTTCCCTTACATATCTCATCATAATAAAAAACAACTGAAATATATTCAAACTAGTACTTACCAGATATCTTAAGCACACATCTGTGATATTTTTTGGTAAGCTATTCTGTCGCAGTTTGTCAACCACATTTCTGCCTTCCTTTAAACAATAAAATCAAGTCTTTACATGAAACTGTAAAGTGAATGCTCAAATCAAAATCTGCATGCATATAGTGCTTATCATCTCATCAGCAAGAGAAGTTTGGTCATACAACAGGGGTGTTTTAATAATTAATAATAAAGTTACATGTTGAAAGGATTTGATGTGTGAATTAATAACAAAATCCTGAAATGCACTAAATCCCTTCAATACAGCACATCACTACTGATTACATTGAACTACTCATTAAAACAAGTATATAACGGTTAGTCAAATCTATTTGATTAAAATAAAAATCGATAAATTTCTTTATCTTTTACAAGGGTTTCTAAAGATTTGGATATAGGAAACACCTATAATGAAAATAGGTGGCAACAGTTCCCTTAGAATAGTGATTAGAAAAAATGGGTTAAAAGCTGAGTCCTGAATGGTGTAAAATCCTGCATTTTGAGCATTTCTAAGTATTTTTTTACACTTCAAAATAGAGCTCAATCTTGGGCACCTGTCTTTTGATATATTCAATTATAACTGTTAGTAATTCTTGGTCTAATCATTTTTTAATAAATTAATTCAGCAATTGTATTTAGATATTAAATGGCTTTGAAATAAATTAAAGGCAATGTTTGGTTACGTTTTGTTTTGATAGTGGTTCTTGAAAAATGTGAAATATGTTAACTGACAGAGAACACATGCAAATGATGGAAGAAGCTTACATTTGTAACATATATACCGGTAGACATATGTATAATTTCTAATGAAGACCTTTTATTTTTTTTCATTTCAGAACAATCTTAGTATTTTGTATTTTACCAAAGTGGCCTTAAGTCAGGTGAGCTAATAATATAAGCTACAAAATTTCTAGTCTTAAATGCCAATGTAAAAACTTTGGAGTTATAATGTGTGTCTGTGGTGGTTGAGATCCTGCATTACTGATTGAAATCTTTACATTTTCGGCTGTAGATTGGATATGTTCACCCTCTATCAGCAAAATGGCAAGTCACAATTTCATCATTTAAAAATTTCAATACATACCAATGAGGACCTTTGAAATATTAAAATAATTTTAACCTGGAGTTTGTAAATATCAACTTACTTCCAGGTTTAGCACCAGAGCAGTTGTGTCTCATTGCTTCAAAATCTTTTTTTAGATTCTAGTTTTTGTCACTATAATAGCTTGCACATGAAAGTTCTACAAGCAGCAGTTTCTACTGGCTACTTTTGAAAGCCCTGTATTTAATTGTTCCTCTGTGTAAAAGATTATTTTTCAACCAATTTCATTTTGTGTCAGGTTACCAAAAACTGAGTGTATCTGCATAAATTGTACATGTATGTTCTTTAAAAACTTGGTGAATTTAGTTATAAATCCTTCTGTACAAACCTTGTTTCTTACAAATACATCAGCATTACATCTAAGGAAGGATTCTACAACATCAGGATGTACAAAGTCAGCATTGTACAGATATTGGTGGAAAGCTGTATTGCCATCCTATAAAACATACATGTATATTATATATATAAACACAAAACCTTCAAGAGGTATGTAAAGTTAAATATCTTGTAAGGATAAGAAATCAGCTCTGAATATATGATTATTATTCATGTTGACCCTGGGAAAGTTATGGGCAATTCTGAAAATGTTCAAGACAATATGGAGCGGTGTCAATAATACAATACATGAGACAGAATCACAACAATAACAATCATTCTGTGAGTATTGCCAGGCAATATATAGTCCCCTACCGGTTAAAAATTCATTGTAATGGAACAAAATGCTAACTTGATCTATAACTTGTCATGGTGTAAACTATATAACAAATATCAAGTCAATATCTTTAAGCATGACGAAAAAAAATGTGGAAAATTGATTATTTGTGTAAATTTTCTAAGTCCAAGGACCATAACTCTGCACAAAATCATTAGACCGGACCAAAATTCGAACTTGATCTGTAACTTGTCATGATAAAACTATACACCAATTATCAAATCAAGATCTTCAAGCATGACGAAAAAAAATGTGGAAAATTGATTATTTGTGTAAATTTTCTAAGTCCAAGGACCATAACTCTGCACAAAATCATTAGACCGGACCAAAATTCGAACTTGATCTGTAACTTGTCATGATAAAACTATACACCAATTATCAAATCAAGATCTTCAAGCATGACGAAAAAAAATGTGGAAAATTGATTATTTGTGTAAATTTTCTAAGTCCAAGGACCATAACTCTGCACAAAATCATTAGACCAGACCAAAATTCGAATTTGATCTGTAACTTGTCATGATAAAACTATTCACTAATCATCAAATCAATATCTTCATGCATGACAAAAAAAGTGTGGAAAACTGATTATTTGAGTGAATTTTCTAAGACCAAGGACCATAACTCTGCACAAAATCATTAGACTGGACCAAAATTCCAACTTGATCTGTAACTTGACATGATAAAACTATACACTAATCATCAAATCAATATCTTCAAGCATGACAAAAAAAAGCGGAAAACTGATTATTTGAGTGAATTTTCTAAGTTCAAGGACCATAATCTGCACAAAATTGTCAGACCGGAACAAAATTCAAATTGATTTGTAATTTGTCATGATAAAACAATACACCAAATATCAAATCAATATCTTCAAGCACGAAGAAAAAAAGTGTGGAAAACTGATTTGCCGGACAGACAGACAGACAGACAGACAGACAGACGGAGTTCAAACCTAAGTCCCCTTCGACTTTGTCAGTAGGGGACTAAAAAAACCAGCATCTACAGGTAAATGTACTCAGTTTTAAATATATATTTGTAAATGGAAAACTTCCCATACTTCTGTAAATTCAGAAATATTTGTGAGGTTTTTATTAATGGGAATAATGAGACTGAGTGAGTATCACAATAATAAGAACTCCCATTCTAATATCTGATATATACATTTGTATTTAAGAATTGAATGCTTCTTTTTGTAAATTTATTGGGTTTTAAATGCATTGACCAAAGTACATTTTGTATGAAGAGCAGAAGAGCTTCATTCTAAAAATGTACCCACTGTCAACGCTTTTACAACCCTATAAAATTACTAAAAGAAGCATTCCAATACTTATAATTACATTTGTTTGCTAGGATCATGAAAACACGATTTCAATCAAGTTTTTCTTTTATTTACCTGTGCACTTTATTGTGGAAGCTTGTGTCGTCATGAATGTTACATATTTCAATTTGAAATGAAGGTTAATTTCAGAATGACGCGAGATTGCTGTTAGCCAATCAAAATAACATATTACAATGAAACGTACATATATTTTAATTATATCTGTAAGAAGCTTTTTCTGAAATAGCAAAAATAATCTCAGATTTTAATTCATTCTTCAAAAATCGCAAAATATGCATGCAATTATTTCTGAATTTACAGTATATATAAAACTTTTAATTATCCAGAGTTAGAAAAGTTGTGGATAATAATGGTAAACGGTTGCCTAAATATGTCAAAAAATATTTCCAAAATGTTTAAACAGTTAACATGAAGTTTTAAAATTGGTCTAATCCAAATCCCTAAATAAGCAACATTTAAATATGTACTATGATCAAAAAGATATATTTACCGTGTCTTGTTTATTAATATCCATTCCATAATTACTTAAAATATAAACTAGCTGGGCTCCATCTTGTTGAAATTTAGGTTTACTGTTAAAAGTATCAGTAAGGTGATGATATAAGTTACAATTGCTGACCTGTAAATAAAAAGTAGACTTGTTTTTATGTTATGCTGTTTCACCACTGTCTTAGGTTAGGGACAGGGTTGAGCACTCACAAGCATGTTTAATCATGCCATATTCTTTATGAGGCTGTCCCAAGTCATCAGCCTGTAATTGAGAGGTTGTAGTTGGTTGCTGTCTGCCATATTTGATTTTTGTTATTGTTCTAGCATAAACCAGGCCATTGGGTCTCTTTTTTGAATTGTTTCACATTTTGCAGACTCTGATGGATAGTTGTCTCAATGGCAGTCATACAACATCTCCTTATGTTTATATTGTGACTCAGAGTCAGACTTGGACATTTTTTAGAAAACTAAAGAGCCATGGGGGTCAAATCTCATTTTTTTTATAGAGAAAATTAAAACCATGTCTGCTACTGTCTGAATTTGGATTGTGATAACATTTTTGACATAATATAGGTTTCTGACACAAAATAAATGTGGTCAAAGATCTTAAAAATTTGAAATGAGACATTTAATTTACCTAGTATGGTCTGATATCCAAAATCTAACAACATGGTTAGATTCAGCATATAAAAAAACACCAAAAATTTTATTTCAGTCGGAATCAAAAAAAGTTTAATTTTGGACCCTTTAAACCTTAATATGGACTAATTTGAAAACAGGGCCCAAAATAAAAAATCTAAATGCACAGTAAGATTCAGCATATCATAGAGCCGCAATAATTCAGTTTTTGATGAAATCAAACAAAGTTTAATTTTGGGACCCTTTGGACCTCAATGTAGACCAATTTAAAAATGGGGCCTAATATCCAAAATACATAAAAATGTAGTAATACAAGGTTAGAACCCCCAAAAATTAAAGACTTTAAATTGATCCCATTGAAATTGGTTAAAAGATTTGTATTTATTTTCAACTGAAGATTTCTTGCTATTGCGCAATACTGAGCTATTGCGCAATACTGAGCTATTGCGCAATACTGAGCTATTGCGCAATACTGTGCTGTTGTACAATACTTAGTTAATCTGTTATATTATAATAATTAACACACCTGGTTTGGTTTGTATCTCCTGCCATATCAGTATTTGTTGCTTTTATATATAAACAGAATTTTTTTTAAATTTTGAAGGAAAAAAATATGAACCTCCAAAAAAATTTGAATTGGAAAATCATGCAGCAAATTCATTATTATTGATGGGTACTAACTTTTACAAATTTCTTGGCTGCATGTGAATTATGAACTTTTAAAAGTGTTCAACAAAATACAAACTGAAGCATACTTATGTTCAGTCTTTATAAATATATCATGAAAGTAAATATTCACAAAAGAACAAGTATTCTTTGCTCCATTAAAATTGGTACCCACAAAAATAAACTAATCTGTAGTTGCCTACTGGAAAAGAAACAATTCAATAAATATCTTACTTTTATACAATTCCTTTTACTTACATTTGACAAAACATTCTTTTCTGCAGCAAACAGTTTGCAAAGCAAATGGGAGTCTAAATTCTTAATGGCTTGCACAAAATCCATATCTATAAAATTAAAATAAATGCTGATAATACAGTAATAGCTATAGAGACTAAATGAATAAAGAGAAATGGACACAAAGAGATCTCTAAACCTAATAGCTCCAATGGGTTTCAGTAACTTTTATTACTTTACAATAAATATTCGGCCTTCAGACTTTTAGGTTAGTGATAATGATAGAAATTTATTATCCATGTTGGATTATTGTTGATGCAGTTATTTATCCATTAGACAAATTATCTGATCTGCTTTGGCAGGCTTTTGAAATAAATGCTAATAATTCTAAACATTAAAATATTAGTGAAAACTGAGGCACTGTAGATCTGATATATACATGTACTTGATCAACTGGTTTGATAAGTAGATATATTTCTATTAAGAAATAATTCATGGCAGCCAGAGATTTTTTTTCATTTAACCATGGGTTTGGCATTTATATTCAATTATTTTATCTCGAGTGATAGTGAGTGGTCAAATATGAATATAAATGTCCTACTCATGGTTAATTCACTTTCAGATACAAAAATGTAACCTCAGAATGCAGGATTTTACATCTAATCTTCCAAAATTTTCTTGGGGGGGGCATGCCCCCAAACCCTCCTAGGAGGTTCGGATCACTTCGTGATCCTCACCAGTGACACAAAATTTTTCAGGTCTAGTATACATCAATTCAGGCTAGTTTTTTTTTAATCAACTAGCCCTATGGGCTAGTGCTTGAAAATATTTTTGGCACAGACTGAAATGAAAACAAATCTAAGGCTGTCATGAAATATTTTGATTCTAATAGGACGTTTTTATACGGTTATTTTGTCAACCATGAAAGCCCTATACACACGATACTGTTTTGGCTGTATCATTTTACCTCCCAAATAGTACATTGTATTATATATATAATATTCAATAATAAATAAAAAACTCAAGTTTCACCTAAAAAAGTTCTTTTTATCTAATTTTATTACATTCTGAGGCATACATATGACGTCACCTTGTTTTGTTGCCTAAGATCATAACATCATTTCGCTGAATTTTCATTTTATGAAATTTTACACCTAAATAATAACTGAATATAAATAAGGTGGGTGTAACACGGAACCGCCATTTTTGTGTATTAATATGTTTGCGCCGAAAATATTTATACAGGTACTGTGATTATACTGGTTGACGATATATAGGTTGTTATATTAGAATTTCAATTTATAATAAATATATTTTTATTTTCAATATTTCTAAGATACCTTTCACAGCAGGATGTAAAGACATATTTCAAATGAGTGGCAACTTCAACTTATACTCATAGACTTGTTACTGTGTTATAATGTGTCAACATTTCGTTAGTATTTTTAGACTAGACGGCATCTAATTAACCATCAAAATGACCTTCCAAGACTGCCAATGGTCATTTAACCTGATATGAACATGAACAGAAAAAAACCAAACAAGCACATGATGATTTTTATAGGTCGGTTTGATTTCATATTATAGATGCAAAAATACATGTATATCATTGTTTTACCTATATAAGAATGATTTTTTCTGGGGCAGATCAATATGATGATGCAATGAAATGGTTATTCCTGGTGGCTCCCATGTTTCACTTTTCCATGTTGGCATTCTTTTCTTTTTAATGAATGAACAACATGATGAAAGCCATCTCCACTAAAGATCAAATTTTAGGTTGCAAGAAAACTGATTGCAATGAGTTGAATTATTGACTTGCAAGCCCAATAATAGTCAATAATCCATTAACAATTTTTGTTCAGCTTATTTAGACGAAACTGAACCAAACTTAACTGCTAATACACAATGTAGCAGCCTGCACCAAAATCTTTTCCAACAACTTGTCTGAAGACCAATATTCTGACATTTGTCTTATGTATCGATATATATATCTCAACAAAATTTTGAAAATACATACCAGGGCAGTCCAAATAAAATTTACTACTCTGGGGGGGTCTCACTAATTAGCTACAAGAAGCGTCAAGAAGCGACAAGAAGAATAATTTAGCGACAAGAAGTGTCAAGAAGACTATATAGCGACAAGAAATTAAAAAAAATCTTATTAAAACTAATTATTCCAAATAAATATATTAATAAAAAATTTGCATTGATTTTTTTCTATAAGGGGGCAGTAATAAAGTGATTTTTAATTTGTTTTTATTATATGGATAGATAAAGAAATTCAACATTTGTAAAGAAGAAAGGGATTGTGTAGTTTTTATTTAATATAAAGAATATGATTAAGATAGTGTATGTACTGTTTTCAGCAAAGCAATAATAAGACCGAAATGCTGACAACTATAACAGTAAACTTTATACAAAACGTTAAATTTGAATAGCTTCAGTCAGTTTGTTCAGTGGAGTAAAGGAAATGCATACGCTTTATATAATGTTAATCAAAACAAGGATTTTTTTAACTTTCCTTTGAAGAGTTTATTGAAACAAAACATGCAATATTATTTCCTTTCTAACAGTGCAATTCATCATTCTTGATAGGAACATCATTAGATGTGGCTTCACACCAAGGATTTGTATAGTAAGAGTCTTGCTATACATCCTTGTTCACACTAAGGTAATAACAGTACACACAATGAGAAACATCAAATGTGAATAGCGATATGTGTGTCCCTTGTTTTATTGCTACAATTACATTCAATTAACACCTTTAACTATGTACACGTGTCAGACTATAACATCACTGCAAATTGTGAAAATCTGTTGAAAACACAACATTATCTTAAATCATTATCTTTAATTTTCAATCAACATTAAACTATGCATAAACATGATAAATATTGTTTAATGCGACAATACACAAAATAAAATGATGTAAAATATTTACGTTTTCATTACGTTTTCTTCTTGTTTGATTCCAATGATTTCAGTTCATTGTATTTCACAAATTATGTCTGTATTTTTCTGCGGGACAATGATGCACAAATAATGCATTTTGCAAGCAGTGAGATTATTATATATATTAGACAAAGACTGTTAAAAAATTATCAGAGTTCGCGAAAATGGTCGGTCCTGTCGGTCCTGCTGGTCAAAATGAGGCTCGGACCAGTATTTTGAAGGCTAGTGCTGGTCCCGATGACCGATGTAAAAACGGCCGTTGTAGTGCATATTTCGGCACTTTTTTATATCGGTTATTTGATGTACCGCAACTGTTTCCAATAAGTGTTTACATAGGTTATCAGATGTACCCGCTGCTAATTTCCGGTACCGGTTTACGGATTTATTATAAACAAACCAAAGCGGGGATCTACATGTGGCCTACTAAATTTGTTCATAGAGCCATCCCTGGCAAACAATCGGTGATTGAACCCTACAATGGAGCAAACAAATACTGTAACAGCCGAGAAAGTGATTCAGATGATGAAATGGATAGTGAAGATGACTTTAAATAAGAACAATCAGAAGACCTGAACTGGTCCTTCATTGTTAATTTGCCTGTGGGTGCGAAGAATACAACTAATATTAATAAAGTTATTTTTCGATAAAATATGTTATTAATTTTATTTCAGGATAAAATTGACAGATTTTGTAGGACTGGCTAAAATTTTGTAGGACTGACAAATAATCATGCTTTGTCGGTCCCATGACCGACGGGTCAAAATAAGTTTTCGCGAACTCTGAATTATAACATGAATACATAATTGTTCTAAAAAACAAGTCAATCATAATGTCAGGAAAACGTAATACATATGATAAATAAATGTAACAATCTAATAGATCTAGGTTTCTAAAATCTGTGATGATTCATTACTATAAATATTGACTTTTTGTATAAATTTCTATATGTTATATTTATTGATAGAATATTAACGTCCTTGTTGCTAAATTTGTTTTTCTTGTCGCTAAATAGTCTTCTTGTTGCTAAATTATTCTTCTTGTTGCTAAAATTCCTCTTGTCACTAATTAGTGAGACCGCTCTGGGGCATCAGACTACTTTCACTGTGGCCAATAGTGCAGACTGTAATAACGAAATATAATGTCTATATTCTGCTTTTATAATTTGTTTCTTTCTTTACATTGAAAATGACATCATAAATAGAATTCCTAACAACAGGACCAACATCGAATACATTACCGTAGTTTGGTTACATTTTTAACAGAAATTATCCTCAGAATTAATTTTTAAGGCTATTTGGATAGAATTATTTCCTCAGTCATGAAGCCTATGATGTAGGGTATCTAAAAAGTTAAAGATTGTTTTTAAATGATAGTGGTTTTTTGCATTTCCAATGTAATTTAATTTGTAAAATGTAAAAAAAGTTGATGGCCTTGCACATTTTACTGTACAGTATAATAAGTTATTATTTTGCACAAATCAGTAATTAAATAATTGTTTTTGAGAGCTTTGTCCTCTTTCACATTTTAATAACACCTGCCTCATACAATGTATTAATAATTACTTAAATCAGCTTAAAGTCAGAGGTTTTTGATATTCAACATCATCGGGCATCTGTCAGCATCAGCAACCAAGGGAGACAAATATTGGTCACCTAGACGCTTGATTTTGATTTCAGGTCTTGAAAACATTGATTTGACCGTGACTCAAAAACAAAATACAAACATTAGAGTTACCTCCCATTTGTTATTTCTCGATGTGGCATTTTTATTCTTACATACTCAGTAACATAGTATTCTAAAGATCTTTTATATTGGTAAGATTACCTTATAAATAACACTGTTTAAAGTATATAAGAAAAAACATGCATAGTACGAATTCATATGACGTACGTAAACATATGATCTGACCATATGCAGGCAAGCACCGATTTAAAAAAAAAACTGTTTGCTTTGCAATCAATCTGAAATAAATTTAAACAATATGATGTAAAAACATTTTATGATTTACCTGGTTACTCTTCCAATCGGACGTTCACTTTTGCCATAAGGGGGTCTATTAAAAAAAATCTTAATTCTTATTCAGAGAACAATTTGTTCCAGTTCAAACATTTCCTACAAATCTCAATTGGATCAAAAGTATTTTTCTGGACAATAAGTCTTGGAGATGCTAAAAACAACATGATATCGCTGAAGAAGGACGTCGCAGAATTGAACAGTCTAGTGTGCAGTATAAACATGCATACATGTTATTATTATGTATATAGTTTGTGACGGGTGTTTTGAGTGTTACCACCTGAAATGTGTTGGCCTCAAAATGCCACCTGCGGCTACATAATGGACATGCAGAAAGTGCCAACTAATAAATAGCCAAAAGAATTCTAGATATGTATAAAAGTGCTTTCAATTAATCATTGCCATGTTCAATAAATAATTTTCTATTCATATAAACAAGATCTTACCATAAAACTTGATATAAATTTGTTCAAATATGTAAAACAACTCATATGGGACAATGACACAGTAACAGTCCAAAGTATCCTGATGCTACACACAAAAAAGACATACATGTAATTTGCAAATGTAAAATTTTGCAGGTAACAATAAAAAAATGAAATCAGGTCCCTGTCTGGATATACATTTTGTCAATTAGTCTCAGAAGTAACAATAATCATTTCTTATTGTTACTTTTTGCGGTTAATCATAGCCAGTGCCAAAAATTTAACTGTCCATAAATGTTTCATTTGTATATACATGACGAAGATATATATTTTTTCACAAAGCCAAAACTTTAGTGCCTGTAGTTAGACACGTATAGTGCAAAAAATTGAGTGACTTTTTAGTCTTATTTTTGCCTCCTTGCAAATGAATTGTGCCACACTATCGGCTGTACCATGATTTCAAGAGAACTTCCAAAAACTCAATATGAACCTGAGAACCGATAGATATTACTCGTAAACTTTACTGATTATGGAGTAAAACTGCTTTTTGTCTCGCCTTGACAGAGTAAAAAAGCGGGACATAGTTATGCTGTTTCTGGTGGCATCGGTGTCAACAATGTATTCGTTTGTGATTTGGGAATCTATGTCGCCCTTGTACCTGTTCGTTTGGGTCATTTCGCCATAATAACTGTTGGCTCTGATTTATATTTTGTTGTCTTGTTGTGTAATGTAAAATATTTGAATAAAGTATGGAAAAGTTTGTTGAAAATTTCGCAGAATATTTATGCTGCTACCAGAAATTTTTTTTCCTTTGATTAGTGCAGTAAGTGTTCAGGAATACAAAATATTTAATATAGAACAACTGAAAATCAAGTTATCTGTATGCATTTATCTTCATTGTTTCCTTTTAACAATTTCAAAACAATCATTAACAGTTACAACAAGATCCAACTTGAACTAAGACATTCGCATCACACACCAGTTTTGTACTAACACTCTTATTTTGATGAGCACTGAATTGAAATATTCTCTAAAAGACAATTAAACTAAAAAGACACAATTGCACAGCCATTCACTCTACATTTCTACACCATGATTTACTTTTTTTTTTTTAAAACAAACTAACTTGAAATAAAAAAAGCCAAGCTGCAAAAATAATTTCCCTTTTTGTCGAGCCTTCGACTTTTGTCGAAAAAGCGAGACATAGCGATCCTACATTCTGTCGGCGTTGTCGTCGGCGGCGGCGGCGGCGTCCACAAATATTCACTCTGTGGTTAAAGTTTTTGAAATTTTAATAACTTTCTTAAACTATCCTGGATTTCTACCAAACTTGAACAGAAGCTTGTTTATGATCATAAGATTATATTCAAAAGTAAATTTTGTAAAAAAAAAATCCATTTTTTCCGTATTTTACTTATAAGTGGACTTAGTTTTTCTGCCAGGAAACATTACATTCACTCTGTGGTTAAAGTTTTTGAAATTTTAATAACTTTCTTAAACTATCCTGGATTTGTACCAAACTTGGAAGGAAGCTTGTTTATGATCATAAGATAGTATCCAGAAGTAAATTTTGTAAAAAAAATATTCCATTTTTTCCGTATTTTTCTTATAAATGGACTTAGTTTTTCTGCCAGTTAACATTACATTCACTCTGTGGTTAAAGTTTTTAAAATTTTAACAACTTTCTTCAACTATCCTGGATTTGTACCACACTTGGACAGAAGCTTGTTTATGATCAAAAGCTAGTATCTAGAAGGAAATTTTGATAAAATTTTGTTCCATTTTTTCAGTATTTTACTTATAAATGGACTTAGTTTTTCTTCCAGTCAACATTACATACATTCTGCAGTTTAAGTTTTTAAAACATTTATTAGATTCATAAATTATCCTGGATTTTTACCAAACTTGGACAGAAGCTACTTGCAATCAAAAGATAGTATAGAGAGGAATATTTTTATTAATTTTTTTCCTCATTTTTGTTGAGCCTGCCCTGCGATTAACACCAAAAGTAGGCGAGACACTGGGTTCCGCGGAACCCTTACGAATTTTATGTCCTACAATTCGTACATTTGTACCTCATTGTTTTCACTTATTCCAAGCTGGCTAGTTTATTTAATTAAAATTGTTTTTATACGACCGCCAAAAAATTTTGCGGTCGTATATTGGTATGACGTCCGGCGTCGTCGTTCGAAGACACATTAGTTTTCGCACTATAACTTTAGTTTAAGTGAATGGATCTCCATGAAATTTTACCATAAGGTTCAATACCACGAAAGGAAGGTTGGGATTGATTTTGGGGGTTATGCCAATATGGTACCAACAGTTAAGGAATTAGGGGCCAAAAAGGGGCCAAAAATAAGCATTTTTGTAACTTCCAGACAATAACTTGTGTGTAAGTGTTTGGATATTTCTGAAATTGTACTACAAGGTTCCATATCACAAAGGGAAAGCTGGAATTGAGTTTGGGGGTAATTGCCCGAAACGTTTAGGAAGTGGGGGCCAAAAATAAGCATTTTTCTAGTTTCCAGACAATAACTTGTGTTCAAGTGTATGGATCTCTCTGAAATTGTACTGCAAGGTACCATACCACAAAGGGAAGGCTGAGATTGAGTTAGGGGGTGATGAATCATAAGGGGGTTCAAAAAATTTGAGGGTTTTTTTTTGTTTTTTTTTTCCTTTTTTTTTTCTTTTTAAATTTTCCATTTTAAGTTGGTTATTTCTGATTTATATTTAAAAGCAAATAATAATGATATGGTAGGAGATACACACCAAACAGGGTGTGTGAATTATTATATAATAAGTATTGTGCAATAGCAAGAAATTTTCAATTGCACAGTATTGCACAATAGCAAGAAATCTTCAATTGCACAGTATTGCGCAATAGCAAGAAATCTTCAATTGCACAGTATTGCGCAATAGCAAGAAATATCCAATAGCACAATATTGCGCAATAGCAAGAAATTGTCAATTTGTACAGTATTGCGCAATAGCAAGAAATATTCAATTGCACAGTATTGTGCAAAAGAAGATACCTCGTATAAATTGCTTATTTCTTGACCAATTTCAATGGGGTTTTATTCTTGAATTCTTGGGGTTCTTTAATATGCTGAATCTAACCGTGTATTAAGTTTTTGGATTTTGGGCCCTGTTTTTAAATTGGATCACATTGAGGTCCAAAGGGTCAAAAATGAAACTTTGTTTGATTTCATCAAAAATTGAATTATTGGGGTTCTTTGATATGCCGAATCTAACCGTGTATTTAGATTCTTAATTTTTGGTTCCGTTTTCAAATTAGTCTACATTAAGGTCCAAAGGGTCCAAAATTAAACTTAGTTTGATTTTAACAAAAATTGAATTCTTAGGGTAACTTTGATATGCTGAATCTAAACATGTATTTAGATTTTTGATTATGGGCCCAGTTTTCAAGTTGGTCCAAATCGGGGTTCAAAATTAAACTTTTTTTTTTTTGTTTAATTTCAACAAAAATTGAATATATGGGGTTCTTTGATATGCTGAATCTAACCATGTATTTAGATTTTTGATTTTTGGGCCCCGTTATCAACTTTGTCCACATTGAGGTCAAAAGGGTCCAAAATTAAACTTTGTTTGATTTCATCAAAAATTGAATTCTTGGGGTTCTTTGATATGCTGAATCTAACCATGTATTTAGATTTTGGATATTGGACCATAATAGGTGAATGTCCAATTTAAAATTTTTAAGTTCTTAGACCACATTCATTCTGTGTCAGAAACCTATGCTGTGTCAAATATTTAATCACAATCCAAATTCAGAGCTGTATCAAGCTTGAATGTTGTGTCCATACTTGCCCCAACTGTTCAGGGTTCGACCTCTGCGGTTGTATCAAGCTGCGTCCTGCGGAGCATTTTATTAATTTTTTTATAATTAATCCACTAAAGACAATTAATAAAACAATCAATGAGATCAAAGACAGCATAATTATACATCATGTAAGGTCAACTTTATCTTTGTTCAAATTCTGTACTGTTACACCACTTTCCAAGGTTAGGTGGAGGGTTGGGTGCCTGCAAACAGCAAATATGTTCATACCACATCTTTCTTTTTATATTATTATATTATTCCAAAACTGTTAGTTTTCTCATTTGAATTGTTTTACATTTTGTTATATCAGGGTCTTTTATGGCTTGCTATGGGATATGAGTTTTGTCATTGTTGAAAGCTTTACACCGACCTATAGTTGCTAACAATAATATGTTATTCGGTGCCTAGGGGAAAGTTGTCTCATTAGCAGTAATAACACATCTCCTTATTTTATACTGAGAGAGTTTTTACTTTAGTTTTAAAAACTTTTATTATAATTACTTAATTTCATTTATACATGTTATACATGTAACTGAAAATTAACAAAATAGAATTAAAATCATTAAACTCATGATATAACTGAAGTTATGGCTTCTGGAAGGGGAGGGGTAACCTCAGGAAATAGTAATCCACCAGCAGTTCTGTATAGATTTTCATCATGAGTGCAGATATATATATAGAGCTAATTGTTGGTTGTAAATACATTAGCACATACTTACAACTTTTTTTTGTTCAATCAAATTGCTTGAATTTGCCTTCTAATTTTCATAGTACATACTTTTTCCGTGTACTAAGTAACTACACATGAATGTCCACAATGATAAGATTTCATTGTATCGTAATCAAGATATTAAAACAAAAATTGCCACTGGCTATTTTGAAATAAAATGCTGTGTTCAAAATTATATTAAATAGTTTTCACATTGATTTTTAAATATCCTGCTATTAAAATCTTTGGATCTAAAAAATGTTTTTGACAATTGCAAGTTTCTTTCATTTAAATGTAGAGTAACAAATATGGTTCTTTATATCTTGATTAAAGTACAACGCTATCTTAAAATTGTGATAATTTATCATCCATGCAATTACTTTGAACACAAAAAAGTGTGTACTGTACTATAAAACCTTGTGAAGGGAAATTAAGGCAACTTGGTGATGATTTTTTAAACTTTCTTAAGGAAGTTGATCTATTTCATCATGAATTGCTTGATTGATTGATTATTGGTTGCTTAATGTCCAGCGGCAAATATTTCATGCATGTTCAGGACGTTGTCATGAATTGAAAAACCGTGATAATGTCTGAAGAGAATGTGCTACCTATTTATATATACATATTCTGATTAATCTATTAGTTTTTACTTTGAAAATAAAAAAAAACACGAAACCTATAACATGTATCATGTGTATAATCTTTGAACTTAGTTGGTAGTTGCTTTTTAATGCCTATCCGCTAGACTATCTATGGGGACAAACTATCTATATGTTTCAAATATATTACAGCTTTAGTTTTACTGTGAAATTGAAAAATGTTTTCAAAACATGTAAAGCTTCCACTGCAATTTAATTATTGCCTGCTTTTGGTCAATTTATTTTATCATCTTACCATGTAAAGAAGTACATATATAGTAAAACACCGCTTTTTATCAATATACATACTTACACCAACACCTACCATCTTTTCATTCTGGAGTCAAGGGCCTTTTGAAGTCACATATTTTACAATGATACTAGTGAGTAGATTTACAAAGAACATAAAACTTGGTTAATGAGCTCTGGTTTACAAACATCAACCAAAATAAACTATGGATAGACCAATTAAAAGATAACTTGAGTTGTAAATATGTGCTAAATTGGATAGTCTATAAAAAGGTATATACTATGAAATTAAGTGATCGGGGCCAAGCCCCTCGCTCTAAATTTCATAGTATAAACCTTTTCATAGACTAGCCTAGACTTACAGTTATTTATTGATCCAGTTTATGTTTGGTTTTTTTATTCCCCCACCGTAGCGGTTTTACCCTTGTCCGTCTGTATGTACGTCCCAAAATTGGTTTCCGTTCTCTAACTTGTGTTTGCCTCAACCAAATGTTATGAAACTTATACACAATGCTTATTACCACAAAATACAGGTCAAGTTTGAATTTTGGTAGCGTCACTCTAACTGTTCTAGAGTTATGCCCCTTTACAAATGGAAAAATTGCTAATGTCCCAAAATTGGTTTCCGTTCTCTAACTTAAGTTTGCCTCAACCAAATGTTAAGAAACTTATACACAATGCTTATTACCACAAAACACAGATCACATTTGAATTTTTTGAATTTTGGTGGGGTCACTTTAACCATTCTCGAGTTATGCCCCTTTATAAATGGGAAAAAATGCAAATTTTTAGTTTCCGTTCTCTAACTTAAGTTTGCCTCAACCAAATGTTATGAAACTTGTACACAATGCTTTTTACCACAAAACACAGATCAAGTTGAATTTTGGTGGCGTCACTTTAATCATTATCGAGATATGCCCCTTTATAAATCGGGTAGCGTCACTTTTATTGTTCTTGTTTATTGATTAACTTTGTATTGTATTGTATTGTTGATATATTTCACAATGTGTTATTATAGTCTTATAATTATTATACCTTATACATCAAAGTTACAGAAAGCATAATGTTTTTACCTATCAGGGTTCAACATTTACTTTTTAAACAACTTACCCTTCAAGCAAGTCACCATGATATATTACTTCTCCAAAAGAGGTAATCACTGGTCAAAAATCTTTACTTTCTTAAGAAATTTTAAACTGTCATTTATGGACATAAAATCAGGTAAATGCAACTAAAAAAAGGAATAAAATGTAGTTGATTACTGAAAGTGCTGTACCACGCCAATTGAAACACACAAGTTCACCAGTGACCTAAGAGCAAACTCGAAGAAAAAAATATATGGTTTATTTCATAACATATGATTTTGTAGATATCTGTTTTTATTTTTTGTTGTCTAATTTTCCAGGACCTATTTGTCTGTCCTGTACAGCATTTATATACAAATTATACAATCTTCACCATCTCCAATACCCTTCAAGTGTGTTTCAAGGATTCAATTAATCTCATTCCTCTTTTTAACATTTTTTATTTTTGGTTTCATCATTGTCGGCTTTCTATTTTTTCTGTATTTTGCTGAAAAACCACCAGATATAGCTGTCTTGCCACATTAAATCACAGGGCTCTGGAATGTTATATTTAGAACGTTTTTCGCTCTATATCCAATGAAAACAAAGGGAGAATAAAACAATTTTCCTGGGCCCCTGTGCTTAATCTGGGATGGACACTGGTGCGGCTGTCATATATTTTTTACCTACAGAAACCCTTTCCTTAAATAGAATACTGCTGAACGTTGAGAAAGCTCATAAATAAATATCACGGGTAAATGTATTTATATATATATATTCTAATCTTCTTTTATTTCATTTTAGTTCAAAGTTTTAAAAATTAGCGATATTAAGGAGATTTAGAATTGTTATCATGATGACTTTACTTGTCCAGGGCAATCAGATAGCTGTTGATGTCAAACCCTGTCTATCTGTTGTCACTTAATTGTTATTAGGATATTGGCTTTATTTCTTGTATTGCTCATTCCAGATTTGAATAGAAGTTTGATATTAACCAAAGCCTTGACATACTGGATTAGTGATTTAATTATCAGAAAAAAATCAGAAATGGGAAATGATTTTATTTTAAAAGTGGAATTTTCATGATTCCTGGTTTTGGTACATTCATGTCTTATTGACTACCAATTAATATTGAATACAGGCTTATATATAGTCCTGTCATTTTTTCCAAATCCTTAAATGATTTCGATTATGAGCTGATGATGAGATATGGGAAAGTTTTATGTGGAAGGAAGGGATTCATATAAATAGCTTATATATTATGTATATAATTATGTCTTCAGGATAGTATCTTTATTTTTTGTCTGGTCTCCTTCAGATTTGAAGGATGTTTTTTTTATTAAACCAATCTTTAGATCAGTTGATCAGCTAATAAATTTCAATCAAAAATGTTAGTCTTTTTTTGGTAAAGTACACTAAGATTGCCTTTTTATTTAGGTTGGTTTGTATGAACATGAGCTTGCTCATCATTTTTTTTTTTCATTAAAAATACATTAATTACAGTCATGACAGTACTTGTATAAATAGAATAATTTATTTTCAAATATTAATTTTTTTCTGCATCATGATCGAAACTTCACACAAAAAAGCTAATGAATAATTAAATGACAAGTTATATAGAATAAGTGCTGGAAATCTATAGCTAAAATAGACATAATCAATAGCATTTATTCCAATAATAGACCACTTGGACACAGATATATATGTGCTAAGAGATGTGGACCTTAGTTTATAATTGGAAACAAAGCTTTATCATTGTCCTTTTATTAACTTTACCTCTTCTGAGTCTTTGATCAGTAAATTTCACATAGTACAGAAATAATTGAGTTGATGTTCTATTAAACAAGTCCTTTGACTTGTTTAGCACTTCCATGAAAAGAAATATTAAAAGATGTAGTAAGACAATGTGTTTGTAAAAGGGCTATAGTATTATTCCCAGCTTTCTTCATTTTGCAAGGAAAGAAAATCAATTTCATTAAAGTAATGCATTTACTTCAATTAAATGAAGAAAAAAAATTGTTAAGCAAATACACATTCTGAAAAATGTATATATCAATTTAGTGATGAAATTTAAATTATTGAAAGATTTGTAGCATGGAATTAATGGTAGTTTTAAATGCTTAGCCTGTCCATTTCATTGATCATAATTGTCTTATTTCAGTGAAATTTTGTACAATGGCTATAAATTTCTGGCCTTGTATCATCTCATTGAATATTCTGTTGCTATAGCCACGACACATTTGGAGGAATACAGGCGACTACTTTAAGTTAAGATAAAGCAACTTTTGTTGAAAGATTTTGATTGTTATTCTGATATTATATATAAAGATACATCTTTTGCAGATTTAGAGACCATGCATAATGAGAATAATAAGATGTAGATTAAACCGACTGATCAAGACATCCATTTGTGCCACATTACTTATTTCATTGGTCTTTGTTGTTAGTCTTGTAGTATTAACAGTAAAGGAAAATCAGTGTTCAAATGAGGAGTCACTGCATTTTATAGAGGAACTTGTAAGTATATTTTATTGATTAGTATATTGTTACTATGGATACTACATTGTGTACTATTTTATTAGTCAAAGATAAGTTATTATACAAGTGTTATAAGTAACTAGTTATAATAGTAAACTGGCATTTCATGCCATAATGTAAATGCAGTACATGTACATGCTCTGTTCCATAGCATACTGCTGTTTAGGATGTTTGCTGTTAAAATTCCAAATAACATAATTTTCATTTTTTTATGCCCCCGCTGTAGCGGAGGGCGCATTAAGTTTTACCCTTGTACGTCTGTACATACGTCCGTCCGTACGTCCCAAAATTGGTTTCTGTTCTCTAACTTTAGTTTGCCTCAACCAAATGTTATGAAACTTATACACAATGCTTACTACTACAAAACACAGATCAAGTTTGAATTTTGGTGGCGTCACTTTTACTGTTCTAGAGTTATGCCCCTTTACAAATGGAAAAATTGCTGAATTTTTCGTTTCCATTCTCTAACTTAAGTTTGCCTCAATTAAATGTTATGAAACGTATACACAATGCTTATTACCACAAAACTCAGATCAAGTACAAATTTGGGTAGCGTCACTTTTACAGTTCTTGAGTTATGTTCCTTTTTGACGTTATATGCAAGCAGGGGCATCATCTGTGTCCCATGGACATATTCCCCATTTGTTTTTTCAATAAATAGGCTTGTGTACTTGACATAAAGACACAAGTTTTTGAAAAATAAAAAAATAAAGAAAAGGACATCTGGATTTATCATATAACATGTAGGTAATGTTTGTCAGACACCTAGCTCCTGTTTACAAATACTTATTGTGAATGCTTAGTAGGACAATGCCTGCATTCTTGTTTGAGCTTGCTTGATAATATATTACGGTAGAATTAAAGAATTCAAAAAATTATATATTTTTTTTTAAATAATCTATAGTAAAGAAGTACTAACTTACAAAATGTATTGTTGATTTCAATTGACATAAATTCAGAATATATTCAGATTAATAGAAGGTCGAATATCCTCAGAATACAAAGTCACTGTATGGGAGTGACAACAGATATTGGTACTAGCAGAGAAAGGTTGTAAAATGCAAGCCTCAGTACATATCAACAGAATGTTTTTGTACACTATAGAAACTTTGTCTTTGGGATTTACATAACTTTTAAAGACAATTTTTGAAAATTATGGTCTTGAAGTTGTGTATTTAAAGTGGGTCATAATTGAATAATAGGAAGAAATATCCAACCTTTTAAATAGAAGCATTAAAATGGCTACTTTTTTTTATCTGAAGTAATCAGTGCTCCTTTTTTTTTCGGTACTGGAGGTAAATTTCGTGTGACTATTGACACATCTCACCTAACATAAAGTTGTTTCTTGGGTGCGCATATACTTTTCCAATCTTATATATACTTAAAATTTGATGTAAAACAAGTAATATCAAGAAACTTTACAAAATATACAAATTTTTTATGGTTTGTTGCCATGTAACTCGTCAAATGTGAAATTTGTTTTTATTTTCTGAACACCTTGTATCTTAGTGTAGTTAGGACAAATTTAAGAATATGTATGGAAACCTTTCAATTTGCACTAATATTTCGGCCAAATAATGGCCTTATTGGCCCTGACCCTTTTATACCCCCGCTTTAATTATACCCGCGCTTTTAAAAAAGTGGGGCTATACTGTTTTACCTCTGTCTGTCTGTTTGTCTTTCTCAGGAACTACACTACAAGGATTTCTGAAATTTGGTTTCAGGGTTTATATAAGTCGGCTATACAGTGTGATGCGTTTTCAGATTCATCACTCAACAACTTCCTGTTTAACGAACACTTGTATCATTTTACACATGATAGCCAAGTTGAAAATTTTCGTCACATTTTTCTCAGGAACTTCAATACAAAGATTTCTGAAATTTGGTTTCAGGGTTTATATATTAAAGTCGGCTATACTGTGTGATGCGTTTTCAGATTCATCACTCAACAACTTCCTGTTTACCGAAATATTTGGGCGGGGGTACCATCAGTGAGCAGTAGCTTGCAGTTTCACTTGTTAGACATGTGCATTTATTACAAGTGCATAAAAATTTGGAATTCTTACCTGTGATTACAAAATTTTACAACTTTTCTCAGCTTCAGCTAGTACCAATATCCTGTGTTGCTCCCATATGGTAAATGGAAATGGACGGCAGTTTTAAGACACACTTTTGTCTTGTTTTGCTACACAATAATAAACATTACAGCTTTAATTAATTGGGAATTGAATAATCCTCCTACTTACTGTGTATTCATTATTTCGTGGGGTAATTATTTTGTGTTGATTTCATAGGTAAAATCCAATTTAATCTTTCTATAAAGTTTCCTATAGATTTGTATTTAGAAATTTGTAAAAACCATGAAATCAAATATTTATGAAACACAATTTTCACTCATTCCATAATACAAATATAAATGAATCGACAGTGTATAAAATAAACCAGTGATCTCCTTTCAGTTCCATTGTTAATAGAATGAATGATTTTTATGCCCCACCTACGATAGTAGAGGGGCATTATGTTTTTTGGTCTGTGCGTCCATTTGTTCGTTCGTATGTCCGTCTGTCTGTCCCACTTCAGGTTAAAGTTTTTGGTCAAGGTAGTTTTTGATGAAGTTGAAGTCCAATCAACTTGAAACTTAGTACACATGTTCCCTATGATATGATCTTTCTAATTTTAATGCCAAATTAGAGTTTTGACCCCAATTTCATGGTCCACTGAACATAGAAAATGATAGTGCGAGTGGGGCATCTACGTACTATGAACACATTCTTGTTAGGTCTTAAGGCAGTGGAACTAAAGTGAAATTTTCTGTTATTCGTTTGTCTGTTTAGGAATATTTCATCATGGACTTTCTGCTGAAGATGATTGAAGACTAAGATTAATTTATAATGAAAAGAAAGTGGTAAATTTGAATTCTTATCATTTATTTAATAATTACAGTGTGAGGCCTACAAAAGTCATAATGTTGAAGGCAGATTATGTGAAGCAATCTGTCAGTCTAAAGATATCATATTCCAAAAGTGTGCAAATTACAGAGGAGGGAAAGTAGTTCTGCTGGCACAATGTAATGGTAGATGTGAGGAAGGCAAGAATGTGATGGCTGTAATCAAAACCAGAAGATGGGAGGGACATCATTTCGAACCGTTGAATTTAGGTACACATAGTAATAAAAGTCTGACTGCAGAAAGTTTGAAAATTGCAAAAACATTAATGAATGATCTTATTTATTCTACAACAAAAGTAAACATTGGAGGCATCCAAGACATTTTTGAAAAATTATGGGAAATGGATTTCACCTCTTTTGTGAAGAGTGCCAGATACCCTGGTGCTGACACTGTTGTTATAGAAAGTTTATGGAAACTATTGAACCAAGATGAATACTTGTTTATGTCTGTAAATAAGGATAGTCATTTTATTCCAAAGATATATGGAACATGTGGAGGAGTATATGTGACAGAGTATGCTCCATCAGGTGAAAATCTCAATTCATCCCCAAGCATTTTTACTGCTAAGAAAGGACTATGGGTTGAACGTGCAGACATAGCATTGCAAATTCTAGACATCTGTCAGTCATTAGACATAGATTTTCATGAACCTTTACATTTTTGTGATGTGAAGGAAGAAAACTTTGGATTAGATTCTAAAAAGCAAGTAAAAATACTTGATACTGACTCTTTATTTTATGACACATCAATGATGAAAGATTTAGGAGATCCAAAATGTAAAACCCACCAAGAGTGTGATTTCTTTGATTGTCGAGGATGGTGTGATATACAGAAAGGAAAATGTGTTTCTAAGAGAACTAATAATAATTTACAGGTAATAAATAAATAAATATGAAAAAATAAAAGTGATTCTTTTAGGCGCTATATTGTAAGCATGCACAATAAAATCTTCTCAAAGAAAATTGCAACATTTACCTCGTGCACAACTAGCGAAAACTTAAGTTACTGCAGACAAAGCTTACAAAGTGCTACCTCCCACACCCACTCAAAGTAATGGCAATTATATGATTTGCTATAGGAAATCTCAACATATCTCTGAATGAAAAATAAAACAGGAGGTGCACAAAAGTAATATATGGTAAAGATTCTGAGAAAATGACAATAAATTCCATAAGGAGTTAAGGAGTTGCAAATACAAAATGGGTACACCTACTGCTGATTAGGGTGCTATAAACAGTTTCGTATAAAAAACTAGGGTTATTCCCCGACTAAAAATAAACATGGAGGGAAATCCCTTTTTATTCATATAATTGGTGAAAAAGTATCATGTTTTTTGTATTTGATTGTGTAAATTAGTTAATTAGCTTTCAATTTAAACAGGTTAAATGATTAAAATAATTTTAAAAATTAGATTAAATATACATGTTTTGAGGGGAGACAACACTGTAAACATCCTGTTGTTTTGGCAGTGAAAATTGAAAACTTATTTGCAGCCACTGTAGCTCTTTTCGAAGCAGGAAACCGTACCCTGAAACATGATTTTTATTAAAGGCCAGGTAAAAACCTATGAATTTCATACAGTTTTGATTATGGGAAATGTGTCTGTATCATGTTTACATGGGTATGCACATGAGCTGATTTCAGGTTTTTTATGTTCAGATTAGGCAACTTTTTTACTATACTAAAAGTACACTATATTTTTATTTCAATATAAACTAGAGACAATTCTGATTCCAGTGATATCTAGTTTTATACAAGTATCTTTATTAACCATTCCACCACTAAGGGTCACTTAGACATGGTCCCTTAAAATATGACGTCATAGAAAAAAACTGTTGATTGCACCCTTAGGAAATAAAATTAAAGTTGCAAATGTACATCGTGTGTGTAAAAATAAGGGGATGGGAGTAAATGAATATAACATTGGTATGAAATTACCTACTAAGAAAAAGTTGTGTTGACACTTCTACAACTGACATTGTACATTTATGATAAGCCCAATTAAAAAAAAATCAACAGAAAATTAAGCTTTCATGCTAAATTTTGATAAAAATACTTCTCCAATTTGGCTCTGATTTTGGAATAAAATGTTGTATACAATTAAATAGATTTGTTTCAAGAAATTTAAGCCAATGCTTTCATGTGCAGAATTTTACAGGATGAAAATATATATGCATGTACATTGTATGTGAAAATTTAAATAACCTACCTACTAGATATTACTTCTCATTGTGTAATTTTCTCATAACTCTTTTTACATGGTCTTTAGGGATGTGGGAATTCTGATTGCTGTGCAAACAAATTTAAGGACATTAATATATAAAACATAAATGCTATAAAACAGAAAAAATATTGATTCCTAGCACACTCATTAGCTTAATATATTTGCTTCATGTTCATGATATTTGCATTATCCAATTGATTATTTCAACTCAACTTTACTATTGTCTGATTGTTTATCATGTAAATCTATTACATTGTACTTGAACTAAAATGCAACAGCTTTGAATATCATAAATATATGCTGTTAGCTAATACAGTATATACATTTTATTACGCAAGTGGATATACAAAAGCTAATACAGTATATATATTTTATTACACAAGTGGATATACAAATGTATATGAAGAAATAAATGGCAAAAAAAAAATCTGCAAAGATACAAAATGTACATGTATATAATTGGTTATTTTGTAATACAATGGGTTTGACATAGTAGGAGGTTATGTGAATATTGCAAATAGATTATCTTTTGCACATCAATGCAAATTTTCATGGTTTTTATAGGCCTGTATGGCACATATTATCATAAGGTATACCCTAGTTTGCATTTCAATACTTTGTACAATTTTTGGATTGTTTAAAGGAGTGAGAGGACTTTCATTATTAGATTTCAGTTAATTTTTCACATGTTCAGACTCAGTTGTACACTAACATGAGTATGCTTGGGTAGATTTACTTGAAACTTTACACGATAGTTTGAATTGGTAAAAGTACTGTACATTTTGATTTTTTAATTTCCTATTTTTTATTCGAGAGTTATGGCACTTTAATCAGATATAAGGTGATTTTTCACATGTCACATACAACAATCAGAATGCTTGGATTAAATTACTATTAACTTTATACTTTTGTTGGGATTGGTTTATGTTACACAATTGATACATTAAGTTTGCAGATATTAATACTTGTATCTGCATTGTTCTAAATATCAAAAGAACATGTTTTATAACTAACATGGTTTTTCCTGGCTACTTTAGTTTAGTTTAGAATTCGAAGGGGAAGTACAGAATTTGTTATAGAAAATACATGTCTTACTTAATATTCATCCTGTTTTTATTGTCATTATGTGTTCAGTTATGATTTCTTAAGTACAATGCCTGGTCTGCTTAACTTCACTTTAATTGTTTTTTTTTTTCAGAATATTTGTGAGGACATTTTCATCCCCAGAGCTCACAACTTTTACACAGGACTTCTGTTCTACCCTCCAGATGAAATTGCTGCTGAACTTAAACAACTTTTAGAAGATTGTGCTTATCCCAATAAAAATAAAGGAGAAATTGTAAGGACTCCAACACCCACAGAAGTTTTCTGGAAATTAGTAGCATTATTAAAAAGAAGTAAAAGTTTGACAAAACAAAATAGAAAATATAGCTGATAAGCATCAACAAAAGCAAAACATAGTTTCAGCTCTTTATATATTGTGTATATAATTTTCTCAAGGGACAAGATGCAAAGAAAAGGACAGTGGGGCAACACACATTGTAATACAGATTTGCTTGGCTAGAAAATATTGATACAGCTCAAAATATCGTTTTTAAAAATTGAAAAGTTGATTAGAATCTTACATGAACCTTCCATGTTATAAATTGAAAAGTTGATTAGAATCTTACATGAACCTTCCATGTTATCTGCAGAGTTAATGATATGTATTGTAAATTTCTTTGATTAAAAGGGGTTTTGGGTGAACAATGTTAACAATAATGAAAACTGTGCCGCAACCAAGCATCACAAGTATAGAAAATAATAAAAATGTAGAGTTTATCATATCATAGACTTCATATAATTTAATTTCCAGTAAAGGTCAGATTTATAGAAACATTTAGCAAGCAAACAGTGACTGGTAGATTTTTTTTTATGCCCCCGCCGTAGCTGTGGGGGCATTAAGTTTTACCCTTGTCCGTCTGTACATACCTATGTACGTCCCAAAATTGGTTTCCTTTCTCTAACTTGAGTTTGCCACAACCAAATGTTATGAAACTTATACACAATGCTTATCACTACAAAACACAGATCAAGTTTGAATTTTGGTGGCGTCACTTTAACAGTTCTAGAGTTATGCCCCTTTATAAATGGAAAAATTGCAAAATTTTTAGTTTCTGTTCTCTAACTTGAGTTTGCCTCAACCAAATGTTATGAAACTTATACACAATGTTTATTACCACAAAACAAGGATCAAGTTTGAATTTTAGTGGCGTCACTTTAACCGTTCTAGAGTTATGTCCCTTTATAAATGAAAAAATTGCAAAATTTTTATTTTCTACTAAATATCAAGTAATTTTTAAAATTGGAGTTATCTTCCTTTGTCCATGACTATAGTTGAATCAACTACAATCAATGCTTTATACAATGCAATGTTTAATTTTGACTTCCACTGATAAAACACAGATCCAGTTGAATTTGGGTAGTGTCACTTTAACCATTATTGAGTTATGCCCCTTTATAAATCGAAAGATTGCAAAATTTTTAGTTTCCATTCTGTAACTTAAGTTTGCCCAAACCAAACATTATGAAACCTATACACAATATTCATTACCACAAAACAAATTTTTGTTTCCATTTTCTAACTTTAGTTTGCCTCAACCAAATGTTATGAAACTTATACACAATGCTTATTACTACATAATACAGATTAAGTACGAAATTTGGTGTGAACACTTTTACCATTCTTGAGTTATGTCCCTTTATAAACATAAAAATTGCTGAATTTTCGTTTCCGTTCTCTAACTTTAGTTTGTCTCAACCAAATGTTATAAAACTTATACACAACCGTTCTAGAGTTATGCGTGTTTACAAATAGAAAAATTCCTGAATTTTTAGTTCTGTTCTCTACTTTAGTTATCCTCAACCAAATATTATGAGACTTACACACAATGCTTATTACCACAAAACTCAGATCAAGTTCAAATTTGGGTAGCGTCACTTTTACCGTTCTTCAGTTATGTCCCTTTATAACTATATGCTATGCAAGCGGGGGCATCATCTGTATCCACATTTATTTAATAGAGCAATATACATTTAACACACAAATATTTGTTTATGTCTAGAATATAATTTTGACAGGTATTTCAGTTTAACCATTAATATGTTTAAGGGAAAGGAAAATTGTAAACTTTGAAAAAGCAAGACCACAGTTAAAATGTGAGGTACAATGTTCATCATATGGTAAATTTCAATAAAAAATATTCTTGATTAGTCGAAGATAAAGTGACAGTAAATATCCTTTGTTGATGTAAGTACATCTGACGCATGATTTATGTATGAAAACATATCAATTTAAGCATTTTAATTTGCATTTGTATAATTTATTTTGTATTTTTTTGTGAGAGAATTGTGCACATATCCCATAATTATTTTTGTTGCCTTGATACATGTAGCACATTCATTTTTGTGTCCCCTTTCAAATTTAAATGAATGGTTACTCATACCAATACCTTACTTGAGTTGATTATCAGAATTATTGGATAAAGGAATAGAGAATTGTACAAGTAGGTCATCTATATTTTTTATATGGAATGATTGGAAAGAGATGCATGTCTGTCTGGCCGCGTTTATCTTAACATCTCTTTCATGGATAATTGATAATGTTTATAAGTTTTTGTGTTACTTGTAGTAAAACCTTGATTTTCAACAATATATTCAATCATGATCAGAAAAGCAGCTAGACATCTCAGCGTGTGCACTCGTGTTTTTATTTTACTGTTATACAAATGCATGTATATTTGATAAATACATACATGTAATTTTAAAAAAAATTCTGATGTTTAAGTCTTTGTAGTCTTCCAAGGGTTTTTATAACATTTATATACCGTAAAATTATTTTATTGCAGTGTAAAAATATCATTATGAAAAGTACATCAATTAATTTCACCTTTTTAATTGATATTTAAAAAACCAATCACATTGTCAGAATTATCATACATGATGGAGGTGTGCAATAGTTGTAAATCTCCATAACTTTAACTTATTCCAGGAATTCCTGAAATATTTTAGGACATCAATATTAAAATTTTAGTTTCAGTCGATCCATAAATCACATTATGGATCTGTTCAATTTTTCAGAATCTTCATAAAGAAGAAGTATTTTTTAAGTTCCCAATTCATAAATTTAGGATATCCTTGATGTATTTTGGGGTATTGTAGTATTTCACAATATCTGAACATCAGGACATCTTAAAATATTTGTATTATTAAGGATCCCCATATAAGATGCTCTACAATGGTAATACGGATGTAGTTCTACATTTATTAAGCTCCTCAAATATTATTAATGGACTTCTATATTTTGATTTTTAAAAAGACTTGCATAAATATTTAGGGATTTCACAAAGATGATTTGTTGTGTCACAAAATTTCTAGGGACCTTTTTGAAAAATGCAGTTTAGACTTATCCTTTATGGATGTCCTGAAACAGAATAATTAGTGTCATTTAAAAATGAAATAATTGAAATGTTTGAATATTTCACAATGTCAAGAATGCAAATTGTGGAAGAGAATTCATTGAAGACCTCCTTAGTTACTAAAATTGGGACCAATAAACGTATTTACGCTTTTGGTATTTAGCTGGAATTTGTCCATGAATGACCTTAGATCTGCTCCGAATAACCTTATGATGTCAAGCAACAATCACTTTTAAATTATGACGTCAAATGTTTTAAATTGTGACATCAAATTTTATGGGAACTTGTGTGATTTTAAGTAATGGCATACAAATTTGCATACAAGTGTAAATGTACGTCTATTCTGCACCTCATAAAGAGTTTTTTGCATGTTTTATATTAGATTTTACAGCAGGTTTTTATACGACCGCAAACAAATTTTTGTGGTCCTATATTGGTATGACGTTGCCGTCGTCGTCGTCGTCGTCTGGCGTCGTCCGGCGTCGTCCGAAGACACATTGGTTTTCGCACTCTAACTTCAGTTTAAGTGAATGGATCTCTATGAAATTTTACCACAAGGTTCAATACCACAAAAGAAAGGTTGGGATTGATTTTGGGGGTTATGGTACCAACAGTAAAGGAATTAGGGGCCAAAAAGGGGCCAAAAATAAGCATTTTTGTAACTTCCAGACATAACTTGTGTGTTAGTGTATGGATCTCTCTGACATTGTACCACAAGGTTCCATATCACAAAAGGAATGCTGGGATTGATTTTGGGGGTAATTGCCTCAAAATTTTAGGAATTAGGGGCCAAAAAAGGGGCAAAAAACAAGCATTTTTCTAGTTTCATGACAATAACTTGTGTGTAAGTGTATGGATCTTTCTGAAATTGTACTACAAGGTTCCATATCACAAAGGGAAAGCTGGAATTGAGTTTATGGGTAATTGCCGAAACGTTTAGGAATTGGGGGCCAAAAAGGGGCCAAAAATAAGCATTTTTCTAGTTTCCAGACAATAACTTGTGTTCAAGTGTATGGATCTCTTTGAAATTGTACTGCAAGGTACCATACCACAAAGGGAAGGCTGGGAATGATGATGGGGGTAATTGCCTCAATATTTAAGGAATTAGGGGCCAAAAAGGGGCAAAAAACAAGCATTTTTCTAGTTTCTAGACAATAACTTGTGTTCAAGTGTATGGATCTCTCTGAAATTGTACTGCAAGGTACCATACCACAAAGGGAAGGCTGGGATTGATGATGGGGGTAATTGCTTCAATATTTTAGGTATTAGGGGCCAAAAAGGGGCAAAAAACAAGCATTTTTCTAGTTTCAGGACAATAACTTGTGTGTAAGTGTATGGATCTTTCTGAAATTGTACTACAAGTTTCCATATCACAAAGGGAAAGCTGGGTTTGAGTTTGGGAGTAATTGCCCTAGACGTTTAGAAATGTGGGGCCAAAAAGGGGCCAAAAAACACATTTTTCTAGTTTCCAGACAATAACTTGTGTTCAAGTGTATGGATCTCTCTGAAATTGTACTGCAAGGTACCATACCACAAAGGGAAGGCTGGGATTGAGTTTGGGGGTGATGAATCATAAGGGGGTTCAAAAAATTTGGGGGGGGGGGATTTTTTTTTTTTTCCTTTTTTTTTCTTTTTTCCTTTTTTTTTTCTTTTAAAATTTTCCATTTTAAGTTGGTTATTTCTGATTTATATTTAAAAGCAAATAATAATGATATGGTAGGAGATACACACCAAACAGGATGTGTAAATTATTATATAATAAGTATTGTGCAATAGCAAGAAATTTTCAATTGCACAGTATTGCACAATAGCAAGAAATCTTCAATTGCACGGTATTGCGCAATAGCAAGAAATCTTCAATTGCACAGTATTGTGCAATAGCAAGAAATATCCAATAGCACAATATTGTGCAATAGCAAGAAATTGTCAATTGTACAGTATTGCGCAATAGCAAGAAATTGTCAATTGTACAGTATTGCGCAATAGCAAGAAATATTTAATTGCACAGTATTGTGCAAAAGAATATACTTCGTATAAATTGCTTATTTCTTGACCAATTTCAATGGGGTTTTAATATGCTGAATCTAACCCTGTATTTAGTTTTTGGATGTTGGGCCCCGTTTTTAAATTGGTCCACATCGTGGTCCAAAGGGTCCAAAATTAAACTTTGTTTGATTTTTATCAAAAATTGAATTATTGGGGTTCTTTGATATGCCGAATCTAACCGTGTATTTAGATTCTTAATTTTTGGTTCTGTTTTCAAATTGGTCTACATTAAGGTCCAAAGGGTCCACAATTAAAATTAGTTTGATTTTAACAAAAAATGAATTCTAAGGGTTCTTTGATATGCTGAATCTAAACATGTATTTAGATTTTTGATTATGGGCCCAGTTTTCAAGTTGGTCAAAATCGGGGTCCAAAATTAAACTTTGTTTGATTTCAACAAAAATTGAATATGTGGGGTTCTTTGATATGCTGAATCTAACCATGTATTTAGATTTTTGATTTTTGGGCCCCGTTATCAACTTTGTCCACATTGAGGTCAAAAGGGTCCAAAATTAAACTTTGTTTGATTTCATCAAAAATTGAATTCTTGGGGTTCTTTGATATGCTGAATCTAACCATGTATTTAGATGTTGGATATTGGACCATAATAGGTGAATGTACAATTTAAAATTTTTAAGTTCTTAGACCACATTCATTCTGTGTCAGAAACCTATGCTGTGTCAAATATTTAATCACAATCCAAATGCAAAGCTGTATCAAGCTTGAATGTTGTGTCCATACTTGCCCCAACTGTTCAGGGTTTGACCTCTGTGGTGGGATCAATGCTGCGCCCTGCGGAGCATTTTATTAATTCTATTATAAAATAGATTAAGTTAGCACTATGGTAAATTTAAATGGGTAATTATGGTTGCCAACTCCATTGGAAATTTGAATTGAGATTATGACCATATCTTGAGGGAAAGAATTTTTTGGGGGAAAAAAGAGGGGGGGGGGGATAAAAAGAAATTGTGGGGGGTCAATTTTTTCTCATTTCAGATTACAGAAATTAAAAAGAATTATTCTTCAAATATTATTTTTTTTTCAAATTTCAAATATTGAAAAATTTCAAGATGTAATCTTTAATTGCACAGTATGGCGCATTAGATTTGTAAAATCTTTGATCACATTTATTTATTTGTTATGCGGAATCTAACAGTGAATTTAGATTTTTAATTTTGGGTCCAGTTTTCAAATTGGTCTACATTAAGGTCCAAAGGGTCCAAAATTTAACTTTGTTTGATTTTAGAAAAAATTGAATATATGAGGTGCTTTGATATGCTGAATCTAAACATGTATTTTGATTTTTTATTTGTGGACCCCGTTATCAAATTGGTTCATATTGAGGTCAAAAGGGTCCAAAATTAAACTTTGTTTGATTTCATCTAAAATTGAATTATTGGGGTTCTTTGATATTCCAAATCTAACCGTGTATTTAGATTTTTAATTTTGGGTCCTGTTTTTTAAATTGCTCTACATAAAGGTCCAAAGGGTCCAAAATTAAACTTAGTTTGATTTTAACAAAAATTGAATTCTTGGGGTTCTTTGATATGCTGAATCTTAACATGTGTTTAGATTTTTGATTATGGGCCCAGTTTTGAAGTTGGTCCAAGATAGGGTCCAGTATTTAAACTTTGTTTGATTTCAACAAAAATTGAATATATGGGGTTCTTTGATATGCTGAATCTAAACATGTATTTAGATTTTTGATTATGGGCCCAGTTTTCAAGTTGGTCCAAATTGGGGTCCAAAATTAAACTTTGTTTGATTTCAACAAAAATTGAATATATGAGGTTCTTTGATATGCTGAATCTAAACATGTATTTAGATTTTTTATTTATGGGCCCCATATCAAATTGGTTCATATTGAGGTCAAAAGGGTCCAAAATTAAACTTTGTTTGATTTCATCAAAAATTGAATTATTGGGGTTCTTTGATATGCCAAATCTAACCGTGTTTTTAGATTTTTAATTTGGGTCCCGTTTTTAGCTCACCTGGCCCAAAGGGCCAAGTGAGCTTTTCTCATCACTTGGCGTCCGTCGTCCGTCATCCGTCGTCCGTAAACTTTTACAAAAATCTTCTCCTCTGAAACTACTGGGCCAAATTTAACCAAACTTGGCCAATATCATCATTAGGGTATCTAGTTAAAAAATGTGTCCGGTGACCCGGCCAACTAACCAAGATGGCCGCCATGGCTAAAAATAGAACATAGGGATAAAATGTAGATTTTGGCTTATATCTCTGAAACCAAAGCATTGAGAGCAAATCTGACAAAGGGTAAAAATGTTTATTAGCTCAAGATCTATCTGCCCTGAAATTTTCAGATGAATCGGACAACCCTTTGTTAGGTTGCTGCCCTTGAATTAGTAATTTTAAGGAAATTTTGCCTTATTTGGTTATTATCTTGAATATTATTATAGATAGAGATAAACTGTAAACAGCAATAATGTTCAGCAAAGTAAGTTCTACAAATGAGTCAACATGACCAAAATGGTCAGTTGACCCCTAAAGGAGTTATTGCTCTTTTATAGTCAATTTTTAACAATTTTTCGTAAATTTTTGTTATCTTTTACAATCTTCTCCTCTGAAACTACTAAGATGAATTTAACTAAAGTTGTAAACAATCATCATTAGGGTATGTAGTTTAAAAATTGTGTTTGATGACCCCGCCTTCAAACCAAGATGGCCGACATGGCTAATAATAGTACATAGGGTAAAATGCAGTTTTTGGCTCATATATCTAAACCCAAAGCATTTCTAGCAAATCTTTCAAAAACAAAATTGTTCATTAGGTCAAGATCTATCTGCCCTTAAATTTTCAGACCATTCAGGCAACCCGTTGTTGGGTTGCTGCCCCTGAATTGGTAATTTTTAGAAATTTTTTCAGCTTTTGGTTATTATCTTGAATATTATTATAGATAGAGATAAACTGTAAAGAGCAATAATGTACAGCAAAGTAAGACCTACAAATAAGTCACATGACCAAAATGGTCAATTGACCCCTTAAGGAGTTATTGCCCTTTATAATAAATTTTTAACAATTTTCATAAATTTTGTAAATTTTTACAAAATAATTTCCACTGAAACTACAGGGCCAAGTTCATTATAGATAGAGATAATTGTAAGCATCAAGAATGTTCAGTAAAGTAAGATCTACAAACACATCACCATCAACAAAACACAATTTTGTCATGAATCCACCTGTGTCCTTTGTTTAATATGCACATAGACCAAGGTGAGCGACACAGGCTCTTTAGAGCCTCTAGTTTAAATTGGTCTTCATTGAGGTCCAAAGGGTCCAAAATTAAACTTAGTTTGATTTTAACAAAAATTGAATTCTTGGGGTTCTTTGATATGCTGAATCTAAACATGTGTTTAGATTTTTGATTATGGGCCCAGTTTTCAAGTTGGTCCAAGTTGGGGTCCAAAATAAAACTTTTTTTGATTTCAACAAAAATTGAATATATGGGGTTCTTTGGTATGCTGAATCTAACCATGAATTAAGATTTTTTATTTGTGGGCCCCACTATCAAATTGGTTCATATTGAGGTCAAAAGGGTCCAAAATTAAACTTTGTTTGATTTCATCAAAAATTGAATTATTGGGGTTCTTTGATATTCCAAATCTAACCGTGTATTTAAATTTTTGATTTTGGGTCCTGTTTTTTACATTGCTCTACATTAAGGTCCAAAGGGTCCAAAATTAAACTTAGTTTGATTTTAACAAAATTGAATTCTTGGGGTTCTTTGATATGCTGAATCTAAACATGTGTTTAGATTTTTGATTATGGGCCCAGTTTTCAAGTTGGTCCAAGATAGGGTCCAGTATTTAAACTTTGTTTGATTTCAACAAAAATTGAATATATGGGGTTCTTTGATATGCTGAATCTAAACATGTATTTTGATTTTGGACATTGGACCATAATAGGTAAATTAAAAAAATTCAAGTTCTTACACCACATTCTTTCTGTGTCAGAAACCTATGCTGTGTCAAATATTTAATAACAATCCAAATTCAGAGCTGTATCAAGCTTGAATGTTGTGTCCATACTTGCCCCAACTGTTCAGGGTTCGACCTCTGCGGTCGTATCAAGCTGCGCCCCAGCGAAGCATTTTATTCATTTTTATATGACCTTAATAAAATTTTGTGGTCGTATATTGGTATGACGTTGGTGTCGTCGTCGTCGTCGTCTGGTGTCGATGTCGTCCGAAGACACATTGGTTTTCGCACTCTAACTTTAGTTAAAGTGAATGGATCTCTATGAAATTTTACCATAAGGTTCAATACCACAAAAGGAAGGTTGGGATTGTTTTTGGGGGCTATGGTACCAACAGTTCAGGAATTAGGGGCCAAAAAGGGGCCAAAAATAAGCATTTTCTAGTTTCCAGACAATAACTGTGGAATGGTGTATGGATCTCTCTGAAATTATACTACAAGTTTCCATACCACAAAGGGATGGTTAGGATTTGCTTTGGGGGGGGGGGGGGGGGGGTGGGTATGGCTCAAACTGTTTAGGAATTAGGGGCAAAAAAGGCGGAAAAACAAGGTTGTCCTGGTTAATGGACAAATACTTTAGTACAAAACATAATTAAAGCAGTGTAAGGGAGATAAATCAAATACATCATTGAAATTACCTCCCTTGCACTGCTTTTAAATTATGTATAAAGTAATGGTAAATGAACAATTAAGATAATTTAAAACAGTGTAAGGGAGGTAATCCAAATACAACGTTTTGGTTACTTCCCTTACACTGCTTTTAAATTATGTTTAAAGAAATGCATATTTATAAAGGAAGACCAGTAAAAATATCTGCAAATGTTGCATCTTTTTTTTTTACAAAAAAATCCATATGAAAGATTTGACACTATATTTTAAATTCTATTATAAAATAGATTAAGTTAGCACTATGGTAAATTTAAATGGGTAATTATGGTTGCAAACTCCATTGGAAATTTGAATTAAGATTATGACCATATCTTGAGGGAAAGAATTTTTTGGGGGAAAAAAGGGGGGAAGAGTAAAAGGAAATTGTGGGGGGTCAATTTTTTCTCATTTCAGATTTCAGAAATTAAAAAGAATTATTCTTCAAATATTATTTTTTTTTTTCAAATTTCAAATATTGAAAAATTTCAAGAAGTAATCTTTAACTGCACAGTATGGCGCATTAGATTTGTAAAATCTTTGACCACATTTATTTATTTGTTATGCCGAATCTAACCGTGTATTTAGATTTTTAATTTTGGGTCCAGTTTTCAAATTGGTCTACATTAAGGTCCAAAGGGTCCAAAATTAAACCTTGTTTGATTTTAACAAAAATTGAATTCTTGGGGTTCTTTGATATGCTGAATCTAAACATGTATTTAGATTTTGATTTTTGGCCCAGTTTTCAAGTTGGTCCAAATTGGGGTCCATAATTAAACTTTGTTTGATTCCAACAAAAATTGAATATATGGGGTTCTTTGATATGCTGAATCTAACCATGTATTTAGATTTTTTATTTGTGGGCCCTGCTATCATATTGGTTCATATTGAGGTCAAAAGGGTCCAAAATTAAACTTCGTTTGATTTCATCAAAAATTGAATTATTGGGGTTCTTTGATATGCCAAATCTAACCATGTATTTAGATTTTTAATTTTGGGTCCTGTTTTTTAAATTGGTCTACATTAGGGTCCAAAGGGTCCAAAATTAAACTTCGTTTGATTTCATCAAAAATTGAATTATTGGGGTTTCTTTGATATGCCAAATCTAACCGTGTATTTAGATTTTTAATTTTTGGTCCTGTTTTTTAAATTGGTCTACATTAAGGTCCAAAGGGTCCAAAATTAAACTTAGTTTGATTTCAACAAAAATTGAATTCTTGGGGTTCTTTGATATGCTGAATCTAAACATGTGTTTAGATTTTTGATTATGGGCCAAGTTTTCAAGTTTGTCCCAGTTGGGGTCCAAAATTAAACTTTGATTTGAACATATGGGGTTCTTTGATATGCTGAATCTAAACATGTATTTAGATTTTAGAATTTTGGCCCAGTTTTCAAGTTGGTCCAAATTGGGGTCCAAAATTAAACTTTGTTTGATTTCAACAAAAATTGAATATATGGGGTTCTTTGATATGCTGAATCTAACCATGTATTTAGATTTTTTATTTGTGGGCCCCGCTATCAAATTGGTTCATATTGAGGTCAAAAGGGTCCAAAATTAAACTTTGTTTGATTTCATCAAAAATTGAATTATTGGGTTCTTTGATATGCCAAATCTAACTGTGTTTTTAGATATTTATTTTGGGTACCGTTTTTTAAATTAGTCTACATTAAGGTCCAAAGGGTCCAAAATTAAACTTAGTTTGATTTCAACAAAAATTGAATTCTTGGGGTTCTTTGATATGCTGAATCTAAACATGTGTTTAGATTTTTGATTATGGGCCCAGTTTTCAAGTTTGTCCCAGTTGGGGTCCAAAATTAAACTTTGTTTGATTTCAACAAAAATTGAACATATGGGGTTCTTTGATATGCTGAATCTAAACATGTATTTAGATTTTAGAATTTTGGCCCAGTTTTCAAGTTGGTCCAAATTGGGGTCCAAAATTAAACTTTGTTTGATTTCAACAAAAATTGAATATATGGGGTTCTTTGATATGCTGAATCTAACCATGTATTTAGATTTTTATTTGTGGGCCCAGCTATCAAATTGGTTCATATTGAGGTCAAAAGGGTCCAAAATTAAACTTTGTTTGATTTCATCAAAAATTGAATTATTGGGTTCTTTGATATGCCAAATCTAACTGTGTATTTAGATTTTTAATTTTGGGTCCCGTTTTTTAAATTGGTCTACATTAAGGTCCAAAGGGTCCAAAATTAAACTTAGTTTGATTTCAACAAAAATTGAATTCTTGGGGTTCTTTGATATGCTGAATCCAAACATGTGTTTAGATTTTTGATTATGGGCCCAGTTTTCAAGTTGGTCTAAGTTGGGGTCCAAAATTAAACTTTTTTTGATTTCAACAAAAATTGAATATATGGGGTTCTTTGATATGCTGAATCTAACCATGTATTTAGATTTTTTATTTGTGGGCCCGCTATCAAATTAGTTCATATTGAGGTCAAAAGGGTCCGAAATTAAACTTTGTTTGATTTCATCAAAAATTGAATTATTGGGGTTCTTTGATATTCCAGTTCAAACCGTGTATTTAGATTTTTGATTTTGGGTCCAGTTTTTTAAATTGGTCTACATTAAGGTCCAAAGGGTCCAAAATTAAACTTAGTTTGATTTTAACAAAAATTGAAATCTTTGGGTTCTTTGATATGCTGAATCTAAACATGTGTTTAGATTTTTGATTATGGGCCCAGTTTTCAAGTTGGTCTAAGTAGGGGTCCAAAATTAAACTTTTTTTGATTTCAACAAAAATTGAATATATGGGGTTCTTTGATATGCTGAATCTAACCATGTATTTAGATTTTTTATTTGTGGGCCCCGCTATCAAATTAGTTCATATTAAGGTCAAAAGGGTCCAAAATTAAACTTTGTTTGATTTCATCAAAAATTGAATTATTGGGGTTCTTTGATATGCCAAATCTAACCGTGTATTTAGATTTTTAATTTTGGGTCCCGTTTTTTAAATTGGTCTACATTAAGGTCCAAAGGGTCAAAAATTAAACTTAGTTAGATTTAAACAAAAATTGAATTCTTGGGGTTCTTTGATATGCTGAATCTAAACATGTGTTAAGATTTTTGATTATGGGCCCAGTTTTTAAGTTTGTCCCAGTTGGGGTCCAAAATTAAACTTTGTTTGATTTCAACAAAAATTGAATATATGGGGTTCTTTGATATGCTGAATCTAAACATGTATTTAGATTTTAGAATTTTGGCCCAGTTTTCAAGTTGGTCCAAATTGGGGTCCAAAATTAAACTTTGTTTGATTTCAACAAAAATTGAATATATGGGGTTCTTTGATATGCTGAATCTAACCATTTATTTAGATTTTTAAAGCAATTGCTTTTATGCCATCACGTATTGCCATCTTTGTGACGCAAATCAGAGACTCCGCCCAGATCAAGCTATAGTACTTTGTTAAACAGGCTCCTGGTCAGTCATTCTTAAACACCTATGTATGTTTTCTAATGCAATACATAGCTTGAAACTTTTGAAAAGAGTTAGTGGATTTAAGAGGTTTCAGCATATGTTCTTGTAGATGTATTTTTGTATTTAGGGGGACAACCGTTTGACTATCAAAAAACATAGAAGTCCGAGTGAAAAAAAGTGCATTTTTATACCTGCGATTCTGTTCTCCTTTCGTACGATGTTTCAACAAAATATCGAATCATTTCAGTTGTTGATTAAGTATTGAAAATTTTACTGAATTATCTCTTATTCAATAAGGTTTTATATGTTTAATTGGTGTTTCTCTAAGAAAGAGGCCAGGTGCTCTTGTTCATTCATAAAATTATCGTTTATTCATAAATTTATCGTAAAATCAAAATCACTACACAGGTTATTCGTAGTGTCAAATGATTACCTGTAATCTAAAAATAGACAAACTTAACTGACCTATTTTGTTGATTTGTTTGCGCAAATAATTTAGCGGAACGAAACCCTTGTTAAAAACACATAACAATAAGTTCGTTTTCCTTTTTTGTCATAACTCCGTAAGATTTATTGATCACCTTACTAATGAAATGGACCCGTCAAAACGTGATAGATGCCAAGTCCAGATGAAGAGATATTTACAATTTGGAATTTTCTAGTTTCATAGATTGAAAAAAAGTATGTCCTTTTGGATATCATAATCAAAACTGGGTATGCATGACAAATGATGAAACCATTATCCTCGTCTTTCCAATGGACGAGTCTACTACGTGTGTTGACACTCGACGGTCCACCGTGTTTGCAATTTTATTTCGCATGTTTTCGAAATATTGAAGATCATTTTTCGTAATGTTTCCTTAAAATTGATAAATATCAAAGCAACGAAGAGCTGTTTGTTTTTGTTCGTATAAAGACGATTTAATGTCATGTTTGTCTGTGATGACCCCCCTTTTCCGGATTGCATGAGAATTATAGTTATCTCGTACCGCATGAGGATGACACATATCAACTGAGCAATAATGTTTGGGACTTAGTTTTAAGAAATGAAGACAAAGTAACATTATGAAAATATTTTTAGTAAGCTGAAATATATATTTATTTTTTACATGTTTATGTCTTGTAAGATATTTTATTTCTTTCACGTTTTTCAACATTTGCGTCTGGAAAGTTGAAATGTTTTAATTGAATGGTTAAATTTAAATTAATTATGATAATTGTTAAAATTAAATCAATAAAGGAAATTATTGCCCAGTTACAAACACTACTAGGGGATAATTTCTTTTTGAGTTATATGTTTCAGCACATGTAAATTTGACCCCAACTTTAGCCTGGTTAACGTGTTGTCTCCTTGTGAAATATAAAACATATCAAAAATGACTTTCTGCTAAAGTCTTT